AATTAATTTATGTTTTTGAACGATTAATTAAAATGATGAGAACACAATCGGGCTATACTGTTGTGGTATCGTTGCAAATATGAACTCTAACCACCGATTCTTCACATGCTCGTCCCTGGTAAATGAAAACAAAGTGGCTAAACTATCTTTGCATCGTAGAACACAGCGTCTTCTCGACATGATGCTATAATGAAGTATTTGAATGTGTAGACTTCAAGTTTACATTTCCGTCTGTGCGCGCAGTAACTGGGCGTGGCCAGTATGTCTCTAAGTCACGATGCAACAGCTAATGACTCGTTTCAAAAACAATTCATTTTATGATAGACTTAGAGTCGACTCTCACTTTTGAAAGACAATAACTTTATATACGGTGCACTTTCAGATATAAATCTTTGCAGGATGTTTTCATTCCCTTGGAGCTATATTCCACACCATATGAACAGTCATTTTCAAAAATCCATGATAGGGGCTCTTTAAACAAAACATGGAAAATAGTACAATATTACCATCTACTGGTGGTATTGAATACTGCACAAAAATGAAAATAGTCACATGAACTTTGTAACATTTCTGATGTTAATCTTTGTTTGTGGCAAATCACGTTTTGTGTGGCTCAACTTTTAATGAATGCTTACAATACCTTATTTTGTTCAAGTTCTTTGGCTCTTTCTGCAGCGGACATCTCTGAGGTGGCTTTGAGAAACTTCTTCAGTGTAGAGTTATTGTCTATAGATGGTAGGGAGAAGAAAAACAAATGTTAAGTCTTGATCTGTCTATCTGCCTCTCTCCCTAACAACCTAATCTGCATACATACAGACAGTCATATCATGGTTAGATTATTATAAACTGTTTTAGCTTTAATAATGCATATGAAATTTGTTGCACTTTGGATTAACCTGGTTAAGGAATCTAAAAATCTTTGGTTTGATTTATTTAGCCAGTCAAATTTTCAAAAGATAAATTAAGCGGTGTAATATTTTTAAAATCAATAAGGTCATCAGCTCTATTCTGAATCAATAAGCTTCTTGTTCATGGCACATGCATCTCCACTGACCAAAATCAATACTGTCCTGGTTGTTGGCCACAGCATGTACCAATCCCACAGTACCACATGAGTTGACCACGGTTTGTTTCAGAAAATAAACACGTTTAGTGTCTTCAACAGATTGTTTGGAACGAAAGTCCTCATGCTAAAAGAAAGAAGAGCATATGGATTAAAAGTTATAAGTTAATGATTCATTCTATGAGTTTAAATATCAAAATTAAACTAAAGTGACGAATTTCATTTCTTTCCTATAATAAAACTATTAAGATGGAACTACACAAATTGTCTTAAGGATTATAGGCCAACTTCTCCAGTGAGAAATGACCACGCCCGCGTTTAATGTAATGCATTGTGAGCATCACGTGCGTGCGTCCGTACGTACCTGTTGCGTTAGAGGGAAGAGCAGCATCATGGCACAACAGGGTGATGGCACCCCTGACAAAGACTCGTCCTCCAGACCCAAAACATCCACAAAACGCCAACTCGAGCCCACACCCAACTTACTCAATACCTAGATACAGAAAAAAAGTTACTTTAACGCGAGACCCGTTATTTCCATATAAAATAAAGCGTCTAAAATGTTCCAAGTTTGTAGTTTTGTAAAAAGGGAGGAAGGGTTGAGGATTTCATTTTCGATTGTTTATAAACGACTACCTGAATTGTGGTTTTATGCATAATTACAAATTATTGCGTAAAGCATGCATTTACAAATTCTACGTGTTATTGTTTTCGTGCATAGGTGATGTGTGTAAGCCCACGCCCTTTCATTTCAAATTCGGGTCCATGATAGTTCAGCTCCAGGCGCCACAGACATCTCACCATCATCATCATCATTTCATCTTATGACTCAGCGAACGTAGCCTACCTTATTCAGCATCTGAAACCAAAGGCACAAATATGTCGGCCATAATCACACCAGAGAAAGAGAAAGCATGCAAGACAAACAGATTGGCTAGCGTGGCTAAATCATGACATAGCGTTAAACCTCCGGGTTTATTTCCATCGGTTTCCACTCCATGATCGCAGACGTTCGTGAATGTCACTCCTCAAGAGTTCTAAAAGGCGTCGCCCGAGAAAAGATAAACCACCCAGCTGAGGGAGCACGAGGATCATATATGCCAATGGTCATACTCCATTTACACAGACCGGAGGGGTGTCCGCTCAGATACACGTGCTATTTATGTACTACTGGCACACATTTTACATCGGTAGTGGAACGTCTCTGTATATTTAGTGTGTCTTTAAAAGGCAACGGCACACGGAAGAGAGAAAAACGGAAAAAAGTTGTTTCAGATTCTTCAGCAATAGGTCCGTCCGCCATCGGCCGATTCTGGAAGCTACCACTGTTTTCCAGCTCTGATGAATCATTTGATTAAAAACAGAAACAATTACATTTTACTTTAGATTATATTCAAAAGTGGACAAATGTATGGTGCACAGCACTTAATATCTCAACCTGCGTAAATCAGAACCAGACTATAATTTTAACTCCACTCTATTCACCAAACTCCCTTGAACTGAGAGGATCAGCTGAAATAACAACTGATGACTTGCACTTTCTGATATGTTTTGAATATGGCAATTTGAAGTGGGTTTGTGGCCCTATAGCCTATTGTCAAACATGTTTTTGTTTATGAAATTCAGTTTACACATTCAAGACTAGGCCTATGAGTTACATAATTAATAAAGGCTTCCCTGTGTGAGTAGGCTACATCTATTTGAGATGACAAGGTTCTCTGACTGACTGTTGAAAAACCATGTTTACATGGTGGCATCATCATGTTGCCCCTTTTAAATTTAGTAGGCTAGTTCGTCCTAAAATCTGCTTATTTGCTCACCCTCATATTGTTCAAAACCCATATGATTTCTTTAGTGGACAGGAAAAGATGACTTTAAAAAATATCATACCCTCTCTTGAAAGAGAATGACAAAAAAAGGAGACAAAAGAACACTATAAAAGCATAACTTGTTTTAGTTGCAATCAAAAAAATTTAACTCTCGGAGACTAAGCTTTTCTAAAGATACAGAGTTTTGTTTTTAAAATGCATCTAGTTGTAGGATTTTTTTTGTTATGGGCTACAACAAAAATATTCAACATCAATTCAGCGCTGCTGTTTTAAATTACTTATTTGTATGGTATGGTCAAATTGTGCAATGAAGCCTTTGGAAACTCTATAACAAAACTGAATTTGCTTGAGTGAATGCTTGACTTAACTGAATTGTGGCAGAAGTTTGGCAGAAATAGAAGCTTGGTAGGCTATAATGCTTTCAAGTAACATTACATTGGTTTTATTTTGACATAATTGCCCTCAAATGTTAGCTAGGCCTACAATATTATTTCATTTTGTCAAAGGAGATTTCAGTGTAAAACAAAAGATGTTTTGTTAAGAAAAGTCAAGTATAGCCCCGGCCCCCATCATTGCTCAAACTAATAAAATATCATACTTTATGGTCTTAGTTTTAATAAAAATATAATTAAAAAAATAAATAAAGGAAATTTCATCAGCGTTTCTTTATTTTTGCTGTATCGAAAACGTACCGAACCGTGACACAAGTATATTGTATCAAACCGAAACGTGAATTTTGTGAACCATTACGCACATTTTTTTATGTGTGTGTGTGTGACAGTGTGTGGGGGGGCTGTATTGGTAACGTGAAAACCAAAGATTATCAGTGATGTGGCAGCGTTATTCAAGTGAGGAATGGGCCAAGATTAGAGAGGTAACAGAAGCTTTTACTGGCAGCATTTACTGGTGGTTTTAAAGAAATATTTTTGCACAAATTGTTGAATAATTTTGTGCATGAAGGTTTATTTTTTTATCAACTTTACTTTTTTATAATCACTTAAATGTGTATTAATAAACATTCTATAATAGTTTACTGATCCCTTTGTCAAACTGTTTTCATAAAATGTCACAAAATATCTTGCAGGTCAAGGGGGTTTTGAATCACTTTAATATTCCAAGATTTAAGAAGTGATGTATTCACTGAAAAACTCAACAACTGCCCAGGGCAGTAGCTAGTGGTGAAAGGTGGGGGCCCAACACAATTTTTAAAAATGTAGGCCTATAGGGCCCAAAGAATGATTTTCACAATGATTAACAGTTACATCTAATAAAGCATATGGACAAGTGTCAAATACTACTTTTATGATGATGTCATTTTTCAAGTTTGAAAGCTCCAGTTCACCATTTAGTGCGTAATTGCATGTAATTGTCTATCAAAATAGTGATTTTGGCACAGTAGGCCTAACCTAAAAAAATAATAAAAGAAAACTGCATCAATAATAATAATATTAATAAAACCAGAACAATAATGTCATTCAAGCAATAAAAGATTTCAGGTGAATTAACATTAGGCCACATGTGCAGTGTAGTGATTAAAGAGAATTTCAAGTGATAGTAAAAACAAGAGGTTTTTTTTTTTTTAACTGCTATACAAAAAGGTTGTATGCTTAATTCCTTGCCAAGACACTATATAACACAATGCAGTTGCAATTGTAGATGGGATTGAAATTTGATCAGCACCTGCATCCATGGAAATTAACAATGTGTTATTTTCCAAATAAAAAGTTAGATTATTGTAATGTGACACCCATCTGTGTGTGTTTTAGTCTTAATATGTTGCTTGGCAAATAGTTTTTCTCTGTTTGTCTTATTAGACATACAGCAAGAGCACCTGGACGTTTGTTGACCAACAGGGTGGGGGATCGCATGATTTCATAAACCATAGCCTCATGTCTTGGATGGCAAAATTTGATGTTTATAAGTTTGTGCTTAAATTCATATGCTTATTCCATGTGCTTTTGTATGCCTGCTCCAGAAGTGATTCGTTGCTTTGATTGTGATTGTGCCCAGATATGAAATATAAGAAGAAAGTAAAAACACCACTACCCATAAATCTCAGCGATTTTTTTTTTTTTTTTTTTTTTTTTTTTTTTTTTTTTTGCCAGGGTGTGGTTCAACCGGGTTCAACACATCGTAGTTTTATCCTCCTACTTCTTCATTCCAACGGCTGCTGCGGTCTGTACAGCACAAACTCTTCTCTCGGTAAGACTGCACAGCAGGACCTGTCTGCAAACATACCAACATGTTTCTTAAACACTGCTTTTAATTGTTTCATAATCACATTGTCTATTTAATTGTACTATTAATGTTTGTTTAATGTTTACTGAACTATTTTGTCGTTGATTTTTTTTTAGGTTACGCAAAGCTCAACCATGGTAAGTTATCTGTTTGTAATAAAAGTAGGCTATATAACATTTGTAGCACATACGCTATTAAGTTATTTCTGAAGATATTCAATATTCTGTTGAGAATGGCATAAACTTTTCCGACAGTTCATGTGTCGCCGCCCGTCTATTTAATCAATCGTGTTGTATTACTTACAAAGTAAAACGATCCCTCCTCATGACAATAATATGCGACACATTTTTGGGAGTAAGTTGTTTTTTGGAAACCGTAGCCTATTTAACTTTCTACTAAGTTACATTTTTTCTCCCACAAACAAGTGATGTTAGAAAGAAACAAAATTGTTGTAAACGAGAGCAATGACTCATTCGCGTTGGCTAAACGACCCAATGGGCGTTCATTCTGTCTCCACTTCATCCTCTCTCCTCTGTTTCCTAATTCACCCTTGTTCAGCAGAGTTAAAGTTAACTGATAGATTGTTTCCCACGACGTGGAGCATTATAATATTTCATAAACTCAGCAATGCAATGTTTAGATACTATTATCTTGGTTTTTGAACGTAATAGCCTACTTAGAACGTAATACTTACAATAATGCAGAGAGAACCTTCTAATTAAAAAAAGTATTATAAGGTTCTGTCTGCCAAAACTTTATGTGAACTTGAAATATAAAATTAATGCTGTAACAATGTCTCAACGTGTTCGGAAATAAAATGTTATCCTTTCTATGACATCATATTTTTAGCACTTATGTATTTACGACATTTCAAATTAAGGTAGGTCTAAATCCAATGCAGATGTTTAAATTTGGTGGGTAATTAAACACATTATTGCAGAAATTGTTACCTTAATCTTAGAAAACAGCTACTGTAATACATTTGAGCAGGACTTTATTCCACTAAAGTGGGCCAGGTAAAATGGCTTTTTCTCTAGACATTAGTATATGGCTGAAATAACATTCTAACATTTATTGTTGTAATTAAGACCCCATCAATTAAATTGTTGACCATTTGACATTTTAAGCTTAATATATATATATATATATATAAAGATATTTTAAAGGTGCCATCTGGAACTAAAAATCGAAAAATATTCCATATTCCATAACAGATGGGGGCACTAATCCTCCAGAAAATGTGTTGTGTCGCGGGCACTCTCACGTCTTCAAACAACACAAGCGAGCGCTGTTTTGCTCTCTTTCTCCGCATATTATTCAAATCATTTGACACGATAGTAAAAGGTCGGAAGACCGCAGTTTCACGTGGAGCATTTGGAGATTTTTAGAGACTCAATGAAAAACATCTCAACACTAAATGATGAAGACCATCTCATAGACGCGTGTCTCAAAAACAAGCTGATGCATTTTGACGATGTGGGAAAATAAAAGCCTGGGCTATTATTTTAAGTTTACGGTATTCGTTTTGTTCATATTACACTTTTATTGTTAGTTTGAATTAATTTGACAGACAGCTTTCGCTGATGTTGATCAACCTAGCGCCATTCAAAGCTGCCAACTCTCACGAATTCACCGTGAGACACATGCAATTAACACTTAGCAAGCAGGTTAGTTAAGTTCTCAGATTCTGTCAATTTTATTACGCAATTCAAACAATAAATGCCGTTTTGGCGCTTGTACATGTTACACACGACAGATCCCTAGCGCACGTGAACCGATCATCTCTACTGGAAAAAGAACACGAACACTGTTGAAAGATACAGTATGCTACAACTTACCAAAATGTATTCCTCAAGCATAATGTCGACCAATCATTTTTCGAACTCTTCCCTGAACTGAAATGTAGTAGTGGGCTGTATTTCCACACGACTGACGTCAGGTTTAAGTACACACAAGCCGCGCGAGACGCGAGTTACTCGTCTATTGCAGTTTGGCCGGTGGTAATGTTCCCCGCCCGCATACCGCCTCCCATGGCCGAAACTGGTATTACGACACCTGCCGGGCCGGGGCTAGTAATTTAGCATGCTAATATAGGTTTATATCTCGGCAGCACTATAACTTATCAGGTTTTTAATTACATCGTTGCACTTATTTCTTCTCATTCTTTTGATCCGTGTAGCTCATTTTTTGGATATTTTTACATCAATTATTACATATGGCACCTTTAAGACTTAAAAACTGCAAGAAAACAGACATGCTTCAGAAAATAAATTCATAAAGTTTAATAAATCATAAACTCGTCCTGTGGAAGAAAGGTCCTTGCCTGTCTTCTTCCTCTTCTCCGTTTTCTTAGCTTTATGAAGCTCTCTGGTGTGGTCATTCTCGAGTCGTTCAACTAAAAGATCTTCATTTCAATTTTATCAGTTACCTTTGACTCAAATGCTTTGAGACATGTAAATCATTTAGTAAAGGTTCCGCTAAGAGGTTCCAGAGGAATTAACAGATTTATAGGGATTTAACAAAAGAATTCATGTTTGCGTCTCCTGGCAACACAACAGTTTGCATATATTTGGATGTTAAATGTGTTTGTTCACTCTATTGTATGGTGGGAGGCTAAGTAACATGACACTGAAAGCACACTGAGTACTGAGACAAAAAAAGGCCACAGAACTGACAATCCGTTTAACAATTTAGGAAGTATACGGTTATATTTTTATGCATTGCCCATCTTATATTTCGTAAAAGGTTTCATTTAGATTAACATTCACTTCAATACATGCAAACTGGAGAATGGTTTCCACCTGACTTTCAGCTCCATCTATTAAATTGTTGTCCACAGTCATATGGAATCTCGTTTACAAAAAAAACCCCATATTTTGCACATTACTAGCCTATTAAATGCAGTTCCCATTATGTGAAATTAAAATGGTTTGAAATTTTAAACTAAATAAAGTAAAATTATCTTAAGTTATGTTATCGTGGTTGTGAAATGGAAAACATCAGCAACATAACTAAAATGTAAAAAAATTTAAAATAAAACAAATCAGACAATTTTGATATTTCACCTGAAAATAATGTCAGGTGAAATATCAAAAAGGGAATTTTAAGGGTGAAGCCAATGACAAATTTTGTGATGAATATCTGAGTGTTGACAAAGAAAAGGACACTTTTGTCATGGAAGATTGCTATCCCATGTCTCATGAATCTGCAAGTCCTTCCTTATATTCTTGTTTTGCACAGAATAAATCTGTAACGCATGATGTTATCACACATCCGTAGGAATCTCTTGTGTTTAGAGCTGGAGCTCCACATTTTTAGATAACCACAGAAAGCATTCATGCCGGCATTTTTCAGCACATTCCTTTATTCTATTAAAAATGTAGCTTGAGATGAACAATGCATATCCTCTCCAAAACAACAAAAATAAATTAGTTTATCTAATAAAAAAAAAGCTGTGTGTAGTAATTGGCAATACTTATAAACACAGCTGTTTGGTAGACAACAGCTGATTTAGACTTGGCAGTTTATTCATAATGAGCATGTTCACACTGCTTATTTGACAATGTCTGAGGACTTTTTATTTTTGGTGCATACTGGCCATGGCTGCATCCAGAATTACATACTTTTGAATAACAAATTACTTCACGGCCACTAAAAAGTATGTTTTAAATAATATGAATATGAAGTTTAAATGTAATCTGGATGTACTACAATCATCATGTTACCTACCAGTCACAGTTGCGTTGCTTGACTGCCATAACAAATCCACTTGTTTGGTCTCATGGGATAGTAAAGCGTCCATTGTATGCATTCTTTAGAATCTTGCCGGAAGTATTTAGTCATACTGGGTACTTTTCAACTACTGTTGTATGTATACTGTGAATTTGGACATGCTACTCTTTTCACATACAGATTTTGTATGTATGTTGTTTGTATATGTGAAGAAGTATGACATTTCAGGGGGCAGCCTATGTCTTATAAGATTAAATGGGAGTAAAACAATAGCTACATAGAAGAAAAGCCAAAATGAATTGATTTGCAGTATGTTCTGAGCTTCCACTGAGACAGTGAGGTTTAGAAAAAGGTTTTAGAGTGTAATAGTGTGCCTTGTTTTGTCAGTAGTGTGGTTGTCACCCAGGGGGCTTAACTGAGATATGAACAAACCAGTGTGTCTGTGCCTGTGGTTGTATATTTTCCTGTGACTTCTTGGGCCCACAAACAGACTCAGTTGGAAAGTTGTCTTTCAAGTTTATTATGCAAATGATTTTAAAAGTATGTGATTTATCCAAACGATTACGAGATAGGCAAGTTCTCTGGAATCTTGCATAACTTCCTCAATTTGAGTGGGCAATAACATCTATTTTAGGTCACAAACATAATACATATTAACTTAACTTTTTGAATCTCAAATTAATTTTATATATTGTGGTATTGTATGAATCATTTGTATGTCCACATCCAGTATTCTGGTGTCACTTCCCTGCCTCCCCCACACACTTACTCATAGAAGATATGTGGTAGATGCTCAAAGTTTCCAAGTGGAAAACCACTGCATGTAAAAGTTAAATCCACAGCTTCTTAAAGAGACAGAGCTTCAGCTGCAGGGGAAATGTGGGTGTGGTCATGATTCATAGATTACTGAAGTCCCTGTAGTGAAATAAATACACGATTAACAGTTACAAGAGTACATGCCAAGAGTACATGCAACCAAAATGTTGTATTTCTATTTATTTATTTATTTATTTTTTTAGGCTGGCAGAGGAACAGTGAAGCCACTCAGTGGATTCAATGCTAATAATGATGCTGAGGTTCTCTACAAGGCCATGAAAGGAATTGGTGAGTTTTACTAAGATACTAAATGCCAATTTGAAATTAAAAAATCAGTACACCTTCAAATGAATGACTATAATGGTATAACATAAAATTATATCTATAGAACCAGTATAACTGCAAATTAGAAATAATTTTTATTTGGACGTGACTTAATTATTTTTTTTTGTTTGTTTAATCAGTTTATTTGTTTCTCATACATGAATAATCAGAGAATGTTGCATCTGGGTTAAAGAGAAAAGGTGTCAGTCTTCTCATTATGTCGAAGAATAAAGTAATGGTAATCAACATTATTATTATTTTTACTCAGGCACCGATGAGGATGCTATTATCAAGCTGGTGACAGCACGCAGTAATGCACAGCGCCAAGAAATCAAAGCTGCATTCAAAACTCTGCATGGAACGGTAACATCATTAACATAAATTATGTTTGAAATTGAAGAACAATTGAAGAACAAATGAAGATCTCAAGGGTAATAAGCATAAGCATTTATTTCTTGCAAGAAAGGCAGTTCACACACAGACAGAGTCCGATATGAGAAGAGCAATGGTCTTCTCCTCTTACACATTCTCCAAAATGTACCCCTCCGCTCCTCTTCTTATCTTTTTACAAGAGCTTGTGTTTTTCTTAATCCAAAACCCTTACACTGTTCACACAAACAAACCTATATATATATATATATATATATATTTCATTTTTTTTAATTTTATATATATATATATGTATATGTGTGTGTGTGTGTGTGTGTGTGTGTGTGTATATATATATATATATATATATATATATATATATATATATGTTTCAAGAGATATAGATACTGTATTTGTTTCAAGAGAAAAAATTCTATACCAGTTTTATTTTTTTTTAAGATTTTAAATATATATTTATTTATTTCTTCTGTCCATCTCTGTTCAGGATTTGGTGGATGATTTGAAGTCCGAGCTCACTGGGAAGTTGGAGTCTCTGATAGTAGCTCTGATGACTCCTCCCATCATGTTTGATGTCACATCTGTGCGGAATGCTATTAAGGTACATAATATCAATAATTTTAGGAATTCTAATATTCATAATTGTTGACATTAACACATGCAAAATACACTATCATACAATTTCATTATATTTTATAGAGAGATGTATATCTGTACCTTGCATTTGTTTTAGGGAGCAGGCACAGATGAGAAAGTGTTGATTGAGATCTTGGCATCTAGATCGGCCAATGAAGTCAACGAGATCAAAAGTTTATACAAGCAAGGTAACTGTGTTTGTGGGGGTTATATATTATACGTCTTTGACTTTTTAGTATTCTTGTTCTTAGTTCTGTCAGGTCCATCAAGTCAAGAACACACATGGCAATAAAAAAGATCAGGAAATTGTATTGAATAAATTACAATTTAAGTTGAACATTAAAATTTGGCGGGATGGCTCTGTTCAAGGAATCCTCTGACCTACCATTAAATAGCAGAGAGTCAGAGTTCAGAACGCTCACAGTTTAGTACTAGGAGAGCAGAACTATTCCCCCATATGAACAGAATGCCACATTATTTGATTTGAACGTAATCATTAGCAGCAAGTGGAGATGAATAACAGATGCGCTGATGCAGCTCAGCTGAGCAGATCGCTGATGAGACCGTGTTGACGGCCGATAGCGTTAGCAGCATCTTGACTACTTGGCCTGCCAGAGCTGATGCTGACACTCAATTTATTTAGAATGTTGTTATACATATTATTTTATTAATAATTTTTAATTTTTAATAATTGCCAGTTGTGCTATATGTGCTGTTGAATGCAACTCTCTTTAGTCTTGATGATGTCTATTATGTGCTTTATAGAGCATAAAAATGAACTGGAGAAAGATGTGACTGGTGACACTGGAGGTCATTTCGAGAGGATGCTGGTTGTTTTGCTACAAGTACGCAGTCTATTAAAAATCTTTAAAAAAAATAAAATACAAGATGTTAATTATCAATAATTTATCTGTATATGAAAATATTTGTTATAAAGTTAGACTGGAAATTCAACCCACTGTAAAAAGCCATAGACTTAAAGGGATAGTTCACCCAAAAATGAAAATTCTGTCATTTACTCAACTTCAATTTGTTCAAAACCTATATGGATTTTTTTTTTTTTTTCTGAACACAAAAGAAGATATTTTGAAGAATTTTGGTAACCAAACGGTTAATGTACCCCACTGAGTTCCATAGTGGGAAAGAAATTTTTTTCACAATATACTATAATACAATATAATCTATATTCTTTATATATAGATTATATACAATAAATAAATTCTCACAGGTTTTGAACAATTGAAGGTGAGTAAATGTTGACAGAATTTTTCATTTTTGGGTGAATTATCCCATTAAGTGTACTTGTTTTGTCTTAGTATTACAATTAATTAATTTTCTATTAAATGATTTAACCATAGGCCAGCAGACAGCAGGGTATACAGGAGAACCTCGTTCAAAGTGATGCTCAGGTAAGTTTGCTTCTGAAAGTTTTGTTGCTATTAAGTCCAGTGCAACTAGTGAATCGGTTTGTCATTTATATGAAGTTTAAAAACTGTTTGTGTGTAGGCTCTGTTTGCCGCGGGAGAAAAGAAGTGTGGAACTGATGAAAGCCAGTTCATCACTATACTGGGAAACCGTAGTAGTGCTCACCTTAGGAAAGGTCAGTTCAGCACATGCAGAGAGTTAATTAAATTGTTATGTTTGTTTCTGTATATCCATTATTTTTCTGTTAATCTGTAGTGTTTGAGGAGTACAGAAAGCTCTCAGGGTATGAGATAGAGGAGAGCATCCAGAGAGAGACCTCAGGAACCCTCCAAGAAGTATTTCTGGCTGTTGGTAAGACACCCACACACACCCACACCCACACACCCACACACACACAGATATGGATGATCCTATATTAGAAAGTGCAAAATTACATTTTCCTTGATAATTTTACTATAGAGGGGAAGTTAAAAAGTCTGGGTAGGGGCCATGACTTACAGTTTGCCTATATAATCATATTATTAGGGGACAGAATAGTTCCTATATATAATAGTTCCTATAATAGTTGCCCATACACGGCTCTCAGAATTATGGGGTTTTTTTTCTCTTTGGCTGTTTTGTCTCTTAACATTCTCTTCTGTGTTTCATCAGTGAAGTGTGCCCGCAGTTTACCAGGGTATTTTGCGGAGAGCCTTTACAAAGCCATGAAGGTGAGTACTGTATGTGTTTCAATATTTGTGAATAATAAGAATGATTCTGTTCTGCAACACCGCTTGTCTCTGGGTTGATCTTTAATTAGAACATCAAGAAAAACGTTTTTTTATTTTTTTTATTATTTTTTTTTTATTACTGGTTTAGTTTTAATTATTTTAGTAAATCAAGTTAGGCTAAATGAAAAATGGTGACAAAATTGTTTTAGTTACAATATTAACCTTCAAAGAACTTACTTGTTGCTGTAACTCTTATTTCATCCTGTAGGGGGCAGGCACCGATGACCAGACATTGATCAGGATCATGGTGTCCCGCAGTGAGGTGGACATCCTGGATATACGTGCTGAATTTCGCAAGAAGTTTGCAACCTCCCTGCACAAAATGATTAATGTATGCTCATACATGCAGGTGTAAACATTTTCTTGTTCACCCAGATCAGTGAAATGTAAACTATGTATCTCTTTCTGTTACTGCAGGGTGATACCGCAGGTGACTACCGTAAAGCCCTTCTGCTCCTGTGTGGCGGTGATGATGCATAAGCCTTCCGTGCTTTCTGCCTGGGTCAGATCCCATGTCTCCCAACTCAGGGGCAGCTCTGTGGGACAAGGGCTCAGTCAGTCCCCTTCTGAACCCAATTCTGGACCAATTACAAATGCATGACATTCCAAATCAATAGAAGGATCTCTTGTCCAACTGTGAAGATGCTCTGCATAGCACAGAATTACCTAATTCAAACGAGCGAATTTTTGCATTCATATTTTTTGAAATGTGTAAAAGATTAAGAGTAAGAAATAATTTTAGTAGAAACAAAAAAAAAATTTGAAAAAAATATGAAACCATTCTCTTTACAGTAATCAAAGAATAATTTATAAACCTTCTCTGATTGATTTGGCCTTAACTTGAAATCTGTTACAGAAAAAGAAAGTCATACTCTTCTCTTTTGAGAGATGAAGATGCAAGCCTTAAAATTTCTTATGAAAATGCCTGTTAACCCAGCACTATTAAGTCCAAATATTCAGGTGTATTCAATGAAGCGATATTTTCTATGTATTCAACAAGTTTTCACTTATTTATTGTTTGTATGCTCACTAACTACCTTGACATGTCAGTTTATAGCAATATAGTAGTATAACCACTAGTCTTATAATTGGCATAATAATCAAGTTTAACCCTAAAACCGTATTCTGGACAAATGTGGGGAAAATAGTTTTGATTTATTTTTAAAAAATACTTCCCTTGATCTGAGCGGTGCAAGACTTGGCTACTTTTCCTAAGTTTGCCTCCTGCACACACACACAAATCTTTTTTTTTTTTTGGACTCAATTCTACAATGTTAAGTGGGTGAAATAAAAACTCCTTAATCTTGTATTTGGGTCAAAAATGGGCACCCATAGAAATGAATGGGAAAAAATGTAATTTAGAGCATTCTAAAATAAGCCAAAATAAGACACCAGGTGACAGCAAAGTCACTTCATCTTTAGGTTTTAGCTCTAAGAACTTATTGGAATGATATTTTAATGTAGTTTTAAAAAATGGAACATAAAAATAAGCATAATTTACATAAAAAATATGGTACTTTGTGAAGTAAATAAATTCAAGAATACCCCCAAAATAAAAAAATAAAAACACCATAAATGGATAGACAAAACTTTATCGAAGTCATAACACTGGCTTAATAAATAAACATTTATAATAAATAAAAATTAGGATCACACCTGAGTCCTCTGTGCCCACATTTGTCCACAATTACAGGATTAAGGGCTAATAAGTGAAAACGGTTTGAGGGTTAAGCTTTTTTTGTTGTTGTGTATGTTTTGAATTTTATTTGTGGTAGTGAGTGGAGAGATTCACTGAGAGGTTCATTTCATCAATGTAACATTACTAACAGTGATTAGCAGAGTGATGTAGAATTACAGCAAATGAAGATTAGCAAAAAAGTTTTTTCTCTTTAAAGTTAACGATAATTAAAAGCTGAAGAAAATGGTGCTACTACTTACTACTTGCTTCTTTAATATTTCATTGCTTTAATGCTCACAATTAACACTCATGAAATAAAAGCAAACAGACGATCTCCTGTGTGACTGACCACATGATGACAGCTGAGCTGTTTTATCTGTCAGAATTTGCACAACCTGAAAAAGTAATATTTTTTTTTTTTTGAATTTTTTATACTCTCTGAAACACAAAAGTTGGTGTTGGGGCAGTACCTTTTTCAAAAGATTCACGTTTGTACATTATTTGTCCTTAAAGGGTCGATATTAGTTTGGCCAATAACATAAAGGTACATTAGTACCAGTGTACATTATTAGTATCTAAAATGTACATTTTAGTGTTTTTTGAAAGGGGTACCCCGCTCTGACTGATATACTTTTTGAACTAGAAATAATATCCGAGTATATTAAACAATATTAACAAAATGAAGTTAAGATTAAAACATGCTGTTCAGGTACACAAAACAGAAATTCTAAAACTTTTTGATTTGATGCTGTAGGCTGCGTTGTAGCAGTGAAAATTGAACGTTTGTGGACGATTAAAGCATAAAAAATACTATTTTCATTGCTTATTATACCATGAATTATTAGTGTGTTTCAGTGTTATCCACAAGGAGGCGATATAGTTATAAAATGAGCTGACAGAATGCCGCCTTTTGAGTAAAATAATGAAGGAATTAGATAATGAATCCAGTTTGTGGCTACATTACATTATTTAAATTAACTGGTTTTATGATTACTGTTTTTTCTCGTTAGAAAACAAAATATAGACAACTCTAATAATAATCTTATTGTTGCGCAAGTTGATGAAGTATATGCCATATCTTTAAGTTTGCCCCCTGGTTAGATTACTTTAAAATGTACAGTTGGCTTGTAATTCTTAGCAAATGGAGAATGTCATGCAAGTGTAGACAAGCTTTATTCACTTGTCTTCAAAGAAACCGGGGTGAACGTAATTATTTAGTCTTCTGGTTATATGTTTGCTTCTGAGTTTGTCCACTGAATAAGTTTCATGGTTTTAATCATCTTTATGTGTCAGTGAGTGCTTCCTCAGACAATAGAGAGGAGCAAATGTGACTTCAGAGCAGGATATCGGCCAATAGGACTTTCTGAATTCAGGGGTGGGACTGTCAGGCCACCTCAAGCAACACAAAGGAACAATGAATATTAAACCAAGCCAACCAAACAAAATGGGTGAGTGAATGAAAGATAAGCCTGAAAATATGAAACATCTATTACAGAAACAGAAAGTCCTACTCATTTATTTTTAAAGGTGAAAGTGCAATCCTTATAAAGCTTATCATAAACATCTAACCCAGCACTGTTATAAAGAAGCCCAAAGATTCAGGTTTAATCTATTTTATATATTCAACAATTAAAAAGGTTTTGTTTGTTTTTATGCTTACTAACTACCTTAACATTTCACACTCTCTGAAACAAAAGTTCTGTGGGCTTCTTTCGGGATCTTAAGGGTTCCCTTCATTTTATGGATTTAGTTTTAAATTATAAATTGTATTTTATAAATTGTAACATACTTTACATACCCCTAATGTTCTAGACAGAACCCCACTTATCTTTTTATAATTTTTTTTTTTAAGTGTATAGTGTATAGCAATAGTGCTATAATTTTCATAAAAAATTCAGCCTTTATATTTGTGGAAACCTTAGTTGTGCCCTCATGCGTGTGTTTGTTTGTATAAAGATAAACACCTCCCTTTACGGAAATTGTATGACTTTGATCTCTCAGCTCTTCCGGAGCCCAGGTGCAACAGTAGTCATGTTAGAACATGATCTAACACACACCCACACACACACCTATTTTGTGTGTGCAAAGAGTCTTTTCCATTCCAGTGAATGCCTGGCACTGTTTGAGCTGCAACTTGAATAGACTTGAATGTTCCCTTTACACACACACTCTGACTGAACTGCATTTGATACTTTAAGAGGTGTGCTATGTTCCTATCTGACTGTTTGTTCATTTGGTACAAAGAGATTCTGGAATTTATTCAAATCTTCTAAGAGACTATACCTGTTTAATGTACAGCTTTAAGATTCAACTGAATTTTTAATTCATGGCCTCTCATTTCTTGCAATGTAAAACTTCTTCCTTGTCCTTCCTTCTTCCTTACAAATGGCAAACCAGTTTAATTATTATATATAATATTATTATTGCAGCAAATAAAATGTAACTCCTGTATTTTAAAACTAAAACAATTGATAATATTTCCTTAATAGTTTCAGTTTGAGTAATTGTTTTTCAAAAATTCATAATAGTTTTAAACATTAACCACCAGATTTAATGATCTAACTGCAATAAATGTTTGTCTAAATTATGAATAAATGCACCCTTGACGAAGGACTTCTTCTTCTCAAAAATATTGGAATCTTACCTGAACTTTTGAACTATAAACTGCCACTGGCACATACAAGATATTTTCATATTACAATTGTAATAAAAATGGCCAAAAACCTCTAGTCTTGACTGTATTATGACATTGATGTAATCTTTGACCAATTAACTGTGTAAACATTACGTGTGTGTGTGTGTGTGTGTGTTGAAGTGGAATGTGGTGTGATCACTCAAACTGTAAAGTAGCTATACACAGTATAAATATTGTTTTAGCCATGTGTGAGAAAGATATAGAGAAAGACGACAATAAATCTTATCAGATTTTAGGTATTTCATATTGGTTGTGGACATGAGATGATCCATAATATCAGCCAGTCAAAAACATGCTCTCTTGTTCTTTTGTAAGCTATGTGTGGGCCAATAATAGTCACAAAATGTTTGTTCTTGGGTCATATGGTAGTTTTCATATTAGACTTTTGTTAAATTTATATTAGTGTAGCCTACATTTATTAATTATGAAGCCTGGGTTCTTTACCACCTAAGTTTGAGCCCTCTATCTTCGGCAGACTGTTTACCTTTTATCTGTTTACCAAAGATTCGACATCTGTAGATCAAACTAAACTAAATATTTAACTAAATATAGTCCTGCCCCACATTTTAGAGAAGAATAGACTGCCGGAGCTTTAGTTTCATGCCGACAGTAGAGCGGTTCGTTAATAAGGGAAGAAGGAGGTGGGAATTGGCGAACGTTCAACACACTTTAATAATCACAAAAACAAAATGAAAGCCCCATACGGACGACATATAAACAAAACATAACGTAAAATAGCGCAGGCCTGGTCCTCTCTAATCCTTCACTGTCATCGCTCCTCCTTTTATGCTTCCAAAAAAGCGTCTCCCTGAGAGATAGAGATGTGTGCACCGCGCAGGTGATGGTCCCTATCAATCGCTCTCTTGTGGCTATCGGCCTCGCCTTGCTTGCCACACCGACATTAAGATAATATATTATTTTGTATAAAAGTCAAGTCATAATATAAAGGTACTTTAACATAAGTCAATTCAATAGGAAGTGTACAAGATAATGTGCTTTCCACAGATCCTACTTCAATCCAGTGCTGTTAACCTGTGCTGCCTCCTCATCTTGAGCACATCTGCTGTCTTACACTTGTTCACACATGCTCCACGGCACACATGCTTGACCACCCGGATTTGAGGATTTATCAAAGAATGAACATGTAGGCTACAGTACGTTCAGTTTTTGTGTGTGTCTGTCTGAGTAGCCATGGGAAACTATAATAAAAGAAAAAGTATTGCTGATAGAGGAAATGTCATGGACAATCATGTGACAGAGCAATAATTTGGCATTTAGGTGAGAAGAATGAGTTTCATTATGGGTTTAGTTACATAATTTTAAGTGTTTCGTACTTCACTGAATGGAACATTCCAAGAGATTTTTGTAGGACAGGAAAGGTGTGTGTGTGTGTGTGTGTGTGTAATCAGAGAAGAGGCTGGAAATCGTCATTTACGCTTTGCCTTTGTAACAGCATTCTTTGCAGAAACACAGGTGTGTATGTGAGTGTATGTGTGTGGTCCTGGTAAACCCGGTTTAGATAGTAATATCTGAAATCCTTGTCCTTGTGGGGACATTTTTGTTCACCATAAGGAACACAGCCAATAAATCATACTAAGTGATTTTTTTTTTTTTAAAGGTGAAGAAAGGTTATTTTTTCAGTATAAAAATGTCCCCAAAAAACGTGGTTATGGTTATGGTCACCTTTCAAAGGTTTGATATCGGTACAATCTCTTTAAAAAAAGTGATCTACTTACATCCACTCATTTAGAGAGAATGTGAGAACATGTATGTGCTTCTCTCTCCATTCATCTCTGCCTAGAAGCTTCGTTGGATTCTTACGGCACATCTCAGCTAGCAGCTCTCTCTCCCGAGTGCAAGAGAGTTGGCCCTGGTCGCATGATGCAGATGACTTCTCATTTGGGGTTCCAGATGAGGGTGAATTATTGATCACAACATCAGGGGATGGACTAATGCCTTCCGACTCTGAGGGCTCAGTTGGACTCCCCAACTTTAGGTGAGATGGCCCATCCCGAGTTCGATGCTGAGTTGGCAGCCATGCTTGCCCCGGTTCTCCTCGAGCATTATGCTAAAGTGGAATTCCCTCCCTGTCCTATGAGCCTCCGTGGTTGGATCATGATTTGTTTCTGTGCTCCGTCTTAGTTCCTTTCTTCCTGGAAAAGCACAAAGAACTCACAAGTCGTGGAGGGCACTTCTTACTGACCATTCCCACCTTGTAGGCTCTTCCATCCTCACTACCCTCGATGGTGCAGCCTGGGCGTACATGGAGATTCCTCAGGTGGAGTGTGCAATTGTGGTGCATTTATGCCTGTAAAACACGGCCACCTGGTTCAATCGTCCTGGACTTCCATCCAGGGCCTGTAGGTAAATTCGAGGCACAATCTGGCACTGTGCCCAGACTTCTGGAACCCCTGTGTCTCCCATTAAGTTGCACAGTAGGGTCAGTGCCTAGAGAAGCGGCTGTCCACTTTTCTCCTCAAAGTGTACATGGTTTTGTAACCTCTGTTTACAACCAGCTTTGTCCAGAGTTTAGGTACTAACAGCTTGGACAAATGGTCAGGTGTAGTGCTTGCACGGGGAAACCCCCGAGGTGGAAAAGTGTGCCTTTTTATCCCAGAGAAGTTCCCCAGGTTTGGTGAACCCAGGACACCCTTGCACTCATCAGTGGCAATTTTGAGGAATTCCATACCAGGTCCATTACTCCTGATATGCCCCTTTAAAGTGAGCCTTTGTAATCTGGCTAGAACTCCACATTTCGTGGTTCCCTAACAGTGACCCCATTTGATGTATTCTTCCACTGGTTGGTTTCCCTATCTGTCTCCCACGTCAGGTTTTCCCACCACAGGGACATTTCCCTATATAATACTCCCCATCAGGTGATCAGGTTAGTCTTTTCCACATACTAGCCTCCTCCTTCAGGTAGGATGGGGTCTCCCTCGGTGTTCCTTTCTCAGCAGAGAAAAGAGGACACTTCCCAAACTTAAACAACCAGGGCTGCATTTCCCAATAGCATCGTAAGCCTAAGTTGATCGTAGAGGCCATTGGTGGAAATTGTTCTTGGATCAACTTGGGCTTGCAATGCTTTGGGAAATGCAGCCCAGGTGTACTCAGCCATAAATCAGAAGAGGCCGTCTCCCAAGAGATAAAGAGGAACCCTTGTTAGGGAGACCAGAGGTTGTTTTCCCTGGGCGCTGGAAGGTTGCGAGACAGCATAGCTGCACTTATTTTGACATGCAAAAGCCTGCCAGGATCTACACCGCGAGCTCTCGTGACTCAGTTCTGTACTTGTGGCATTTAGTATAGTGACCCCTCATCCAACATCCCTACATCGAACTGAGCTACAGAAAGGGAACATCTCAGTTACTATAATGTAACTTCCATTCCCTGATGGAGGGAACCTTCCTGCCACACCTCTGAACTGCCCAGTGAATTTGCCGGAAATGGTATCGGCTACAAACCTCAATGATTGGATGCACGCCACTCCTTTAAACCCATATGATGGGGGAGTGGCACGCAAATTCCACTCATCAATTCTAACTGGTGTTACATCCTGCCAATAGGCTTATGTAAACAGAGGGAAGACCACGCTGAATTTTTGTATAAAGAAATATATTTATTAAAGATAAAGAATGAACAACGTAAATTAAATAAAGTCAGTAGAGATGTTAGGTTGAGAAAAAAAGTATGCAGCAAGAGATATGAGGTGTTGAGCATAAGGAAACTAAAACGCCAAAATGGTGCGGGACAGAAGGAGAAGTAACCGTCTTCAACCAGGTCTGAAGAGATTTTTAAAGCCGAAGATCCTGGAAGCAAACATGCGCAACTTGGCACATCTTTGCATCGCTCAACTGTGGGGGAAAAGAAATAAACAGGAAAAAAGCAAAGAGGAGGAGCCCAGCAGGTCCGTGACACTGGCCTTTTCTGAAGTATCAGAGATTTTTGGGGATCCTAAGTGCAACCCCTATCTATTTAAATACAATATATTTCTATTTAAATACATTTTAAAATGTAATTAACCCTTGTAATGGCAAAACTGAACAGCCATTGTTACAGTATTCAGTGTCACATGATCCTTCAGAAATTATCTAATATGCAGATTTGTTTCTCAAGAAACATTTCTTGTTATTAACAATGTAGAGTGCTTTTTTATTTTTGTAGAAAATGTGATACATTTCAGGATTCTCATTTTTTTTTTTACATAGAATTTTTTTAGTAACATAATAAAAAATATACTTTATTGTCCCCCAGAGGGGAATTCTTCCTGAATAAAAATAACAATTTAAAAATCTTTCATGTCAATTCTGATCATTTTAATTCATTCTTCCTGAATAAAAATAGTTATTGTTATTTTGAATCTTACAGACCCCAAACATTTGAACAGTAGAGTATATTTTAGTTTCATATCTGTGAGTAGTTTATGAAGTATATCATTGCAACTCCCCTTTTCCTGTCAAGAGGAACCTTGACCTCAATCATGCGACCATGATATTTGAGATAAATATAATACATTCCAATTATATGACAGCACATCAACACGTGTGACAAATCATCATTTGGGGTCAAAGGGGCAAGGGTTTAAGTCTATAATGTGTGTACATTTCTTTAAGAGACAAAGTAAGACGTCATATTGTGCATTCATAATTTGATTCCCTGCCTATGGTTAATATGTGATCTTTAGTGTTCCTTACAGAGGAGATTGCCATAAGATTTAATATCACCATAGAAAACGATACAAACTAAATATTGAAATCAATAAACAACATTACAATAACAACTAAATATTGTAAACTAAATCTATAACTTGCTGATTGATTCTGATTTTAGAAAGAGGCTTTTGGAACATTAAAGGAACATTGTTACATATTAAATACTAAACTGAATCTGACCACCCTATCAATAGCCACTTTAAAACACATACTGTAAGAACATTTCCAATTTCTTAATAAAAGACGTCTTTGCATCAATATATGAATACATGAAAAAGGATTAGAGGTGAAACTGATGAAGGAAACAGAAAACACGTTGGATTTTCATGTTATGGAGACTTTCCATAGACATAATGTTTTTATTATACAAATTTTATATCATATCCCCTAACCTTATAACCCTAACGCTATACTCACCCATCACAGAAAACTTTCTGAATTTTTACATTTTCAAAAAAACATCACTTACTATGATTTATAAGCTCTTTTCCTCAATGTGACCAAAACATGATCAGATTTCAGATATTACCAAATTTGAGGGGACATTTTCTCCTCATAACATTGGGTAAACCTGAACCACACACTCTCAAACACGCACACACACACTTTGTGTAGTGCAACAGATGTTGCACACAGACACCTGTTTGGAATGTGTGGTTTGGAACCTTATCTCTTCCGCTGCTCCATGGTCAAAAGTTTATGAGCGTATGAGGAGGGTTTTTGGGGAGCCTGAGAAAAAGAATATTAAAAGCTGACAATATCCTCAGAGGCTTCCCAGTCCCAACAATGCAGAAAGATACTTAAGGTTAAAATTAGGATAAGAGTTGTCTTGTCTCCTTTTAGTCTCATCACATGCTTTACATTTCTCACACATGTAAAGTTTGTGTGAAATTTTCCAAATAAAAAAATCCCTTTTGTTATTTTTGTTAATCAATTCTGCCTCAAAACTTTCAAGCTTCAAGCTTGTATAGTCATAAAACATCTCATGGCCATATCAACACAGATAAATATAAAATATTTATTAGCATAAATACAGTTATAATGCAACAGATTGGGTGGCATGAAGTAGAATGTAGAAAATAATGTACATCTGCTCATAGAGTGCACCCTAGTATATAAGTACAAGATGGTGATGAAGCATGATTCAAATCATTATTATTTAAGTACACAAACATGTTATGGTCCTTGCTCCTTGTTAAAATGCAAATTAGTGGAACAATATAAAAAATGATTTATGATAATCATTACATTAATTCCAGAAACAAAATTCCACTTGGGGCCTTTTGCCTCAAGAGTCTATTTACATATTTCATAATACATAAACATAATATAAATAGCCTACACGCATCATTGTTGAGCCGTTTAGACATCTCAACATAAAAACAGCAACGACATTTCAGATATTACACTATATACGGCACAGATATTATACGGCACAGATATTAGACTCATATGGCTCAAGGCAAAAACTATAAGTTATGGAAGCGTCCTACACCAGGGGGCATATTGACCCACATGCCCCATTGTCGCGGTCATTGACACAGTACTATAATGCATTTATCTGTTTACAATAAAAAAGAAATGTTTTAGCCTACATCTTTAAAAAAAAAAAAAAAAAAAAACTTGAATATCAATTGTATACAAAAGTTCAAACAAGCGTCAATAAAAGCGCGCGCTCTCAACAGTCTCCACTCTGGATCATAGTAAAGAGAAATTTACAGAGATTTCCCCAGGAATCTCCGCACTTCTCTTTGGCGATCTCACTGTGGTCAATGCGCTCCGTGCATTGGCGCTTATTGTCCGCAAGCGTTGTGTTCGTTGTTATCGGTGTCTTCCCTGTCTTATGCGGTTTTGCTTGTGACGTTCTGGTGAGTTTGAAATGCGCATCCAGTGGCGCGCGCTTACACATGCCCGCCCGGATCAATGCGCGAAAATCCGCGCAAAGATTCTTCTGCTTTTTAATTGATCTGGCGATCTGTTTCCAGTAGCCATCGGGATTAGATCCATATTCGGTGCATGCAGCGGGCTTGGCAGTGTAATTACAGGTGAATCCATCACTGTTTCCAGGTCTACATGTAACAGTCATGGTGTAGCTGTCCTCTCCACGCGCCAACCACGAACACCGCGCCTTGTCCTTTGTAAATTTTCCTTTGAGAACTGCAATGTTATCATCACCTCGACTCTCCTGTCTCATACGCTTCTCTTTAGCTCCCCTAATGCAATCAGCAGTGAAGATGAGTTGTGAAAGACACGCGAAGAACAGCAGGAGCGCGAGAGTCCCACGAAGAGATATGTCCTTCATTTCCACGACCTAAGAAATATTACTTATGAGATTAAATACAATAACGTAATTTATTTAATTTATAGTAAATAGATTTAAATTTACATCAAAAAGTTAATTATCTTACCAATAACATTAAGAGGACAGACGGGTGATGAGGTTCACTGACACGGACTACGTCAAGATGAGCTTACGCGTGGTATTTATATGTAGTGACACACCCACATACTACAGGACAATCAGATTCTCTCAAGCACGAGAAATGCCCTTTCTTGTGTTCCTGCACACATGGGTCCATTGCTTGCGTCATTCATATTTTTGCATTTGTAGAGGGGGCTGAGCTAGAAAATAGGGATTACGTAGCTGTTATGTCCTCGGGCCTGCGTTTATATGGCTATATATTATGAAATGAAAGAATGCATTGGTTCATGTAAAACACAGGGCATCCAAGACCCAAGCCTGTTCCTGAATTGCACATGCTATATTGAAAATTAGGCCAAAGACACAATCACAGAGACCCCTCACCCCCATCACATGAGTGCACACTAACAATTAATGACCCAACAAAACATGTTTACATACCAGAACAGCATATGACCGCATAATGCTACAGCATAATGCTTCTGTCTCAGTCTCTGTCAAATGAAAGTGCTTTACAGGGATTAACTGTACATTCATATTGCATTTTCATCTTGTTTGAACACAGTTTGTGTTGTATTAGTGCAACAACAGCAATGCAAAGACTCTCTTTGTCTTCTTGTCTTCTCTGTTGTGCATCTAAGAACTCGTGGAATGTTGACTGGAGTTTAATGAATGGAGGCCACTTTTGAGGGACAGAGGAACAGCAATAGGTTACAGAGAGACAAAAAGCAGGGCCAAAAGTATTTGTATTGTATTGTATTTCCATACCCTTGAGTCTTTACATTTAGTCTTCTTTGCACTTGTTTACACCAGGTTATTATCATTAACTAAAACTCATTAATTAAAATATTTTAGTTACATTAAAAGAAATGAACAAATATATACTTTTTTTCAGTTAGTTTACAAGGCATCATTTCTATTTTCATTAAGTTGAAGTACTAAAAAAGTAAAAATAATTATTTTTTTCGGAGTTGCTTGAGTTATGAACAATGAGTCATGAAAGTCCAGTTTCCTTGTGCATCTTCATTACTTATTTACCAAAGGATCAAAAGAAGAAATTTTACAACCAAGGAATATTTCTTTGTTGTTAGAGATCAGTGTTGGTTATCAGTAAATGTAATGATGATCACACACACACACACACACACACACACACACATTTATAAAGTATGTGTCAGTGAACTAGAGTAATGGTTTCACCTTTACATGACATCACAAAATTGCTTATTGATTCGGTGACCATTATTCTACTGTAATCCATTTTGGGCTGTGTTGAATAGTTAAGAAAGAGTATAAGGATACCCAAGGTGTATATGTGTACGGTGGTTAAAGTGGGATTTGGCAGGTGGGGGAACCCTCAAATTTTGTGTAGGTGCAACTGGGAAAAATGACTCACCGTTTGACAACATATTGAGTATCGTGGTATTGCAATACTTTTTTTGGGTCAAGAGTGTCACTGTGGCACCAAGTATTTACTTGATATTTTAATGGTTATATTTTGGCCTATCTACACTGATATGATGATGATACTATGTTAAAATTGCTTAACACTGCGACAAAAATTGAGCCCTGGCACTGTAGTCACGCCAGCCCACATTATCATCAACACGCCCCACCCACAGACGTGCATTAAAATGTGAGATATATAGGGGGGTTCCGATGCATGCAAAACAGATGGGGGCAGTATACTGTACCTCCAGAAAGTGACTTGTGCCGCGGCCGCGTCTTCAAACAACACGAACGAGCGCTGTTTTGCTCTCTCTTTCTCGCACATATTATTCAAATCATTTGACACGATAGTAAAAGGTTGGAAGACCGCAGTTTCACGTGGAGCATTTGGAGATTTTTAGAGATCAGAGACTCAATGAACAACATCTCAACATGATGAAGACCGTCTCAAAAACAAGCTGGTGCATTTCGACGATATGGGAAAATAAAAGCCTGGGCTATTATTTTAAGTTTAGGGTATTCGTTTTGGTCATATTACATTTTTTGTTAGTTTGAATTAATTTGACAGACAGCATTCGCTGATGCTGATCAAGCTAGCGGTATTCAGAGCTGCCAACTCTCACAAATTCACCGTGAGACACACACAATTAACACTTATCAAGCAGGTTAGTTAAGCTCTCAGATTCTGTCAATTTTATTACGCAATTCAAACAATAAATACCGTTTTGGTGCTTGTACATGTTACACCACAGATCCCTAGTGCACGTGAACCGATCATCTCTACTAGCTAATGGTAAAAGAACATGAACACTGTTGAAAGATACAGTTTGCTACAACTTACCAAAATGCATTCTTCATGCATAATGTCGACCAATCATTTTTTTGAACTCTTCCCTGAACTGAAATGTAGTAGTGGGCTGTATTTCCACATGAATGACATCAGGTTCAAGTACACACACAAGCCAGCGCGACTTACTCGAGTACTGCAGTTTGGCTGGTGGTTATGTTGCCCGCCCGCATACCGCCTTCCATGGCCGAAACTGGTATTACGACACCTGCCGGGCCGGGGCTAGTAATTTAGCATGCTAATTTAGGTTTATATCTCAGCAGCAATATAACTTGTCAGTTTTTTAATGACATCATTGCACTTATTTCTTCTCATTCTTTTGATGCGTGTAGCTAATTTTTTGGATATTTTTACCTCAATTATTACATATGGCACCTTTAAAACCATGTCAGTGGGCGTTAGTGGGAACTCTCTCATCATCTTCAATTTTCTTTTTGTCTCAGTCTCCCCATATCCTGGCCTATGTCTTCCCATCCTAAAGCTGAACTTTGACTGACAGTCTTTTCATTTTCGTCTGTGTCAGTGAAGAAAGTGAACATAAGCTTAAATGACAATTATATGTTTTATGAATCATTATCTTAAACAAGTTAATTTACTCAAGAATTGCCACCTTCTATAAGCTTTGGAAATTGAAAAGTCATTTTAAATAATACAAATTATAGGCCACGTTTAACGCAGTTGGTGGAATTGGCAGAAGTTCCCTCATGCGCTGTGGGCCCACTTTAACCCCTGTGTGTGTACCCATGTTATTTATGGTGTATGTACATAGATTTTTTTTTTGCAAGCAACAGTTAAATAAATTGCTAATATTTTATAGTACAGTTGTTCCACAGAGCCTGGTTCTTTTTGGAGGCCTTTTAAAAGCGTTACATTTTTCCCAGACTGCTGCCTTTGATAACACAGTTCAGGATAGTTTATGACAGTGACTGTGAGTGTGAGTGGAATTGGCCGGTCAGCATTCTCATGATCTTCAATATTCTGTTTGACCGAGCAACTGCAATCAGATGAATGGCAATGCAAACCGATTGCTTTACTTCCATGAAACAACTAATCAGTCACATGGGTTTTGTAAGTAGTGTTTATAAGTCTTTTAAATGTAACAGTGCCCCCTAGTGTTATTTATATGCTACGACATGTCCGGTGAAACAAAAATCATTGCTTTGAAACTTTCTCAACTCCTGTTTTTGTGTTCCAGAAAATTCAAATCTTTTTTAAGAACTATTGATTTTCTTTTTTTTTTTATTTGTTAATAAATAATAATTTATTTGGAAATTGTCTACCTATTTGTTGCATGAGATTACTGAGTCTATATTTTATCATAAATAATGTTATTTTAGGTTATTTTAGTGAACATGCTGTTCACTCTTAAAAGCAAAGGAATTAAACACTACCTAAAATAAAAAAAAAATTCCTAAGGGAAGAACATTTTAATAATCTAAAGAACATTTTTGTGCAATGAAAAGGTTCCAATTCCAATTCTTCATTTAACCATATTGTAGATGTCTAATAAAGAACCATTTATTTAGTGTATTGCAAAATGTGCCCAGATAAGCAACCAAATAAAAAAAAGTAACATTGATTTTCTTCCAACGCGTTCTCACCCCAACAGAGAATTAAGAAATGTGTTTTTATTAAACATCCATTTTACAAATGTCTTTTCTTCATTCTTTTTCGCAATTAGCATGCACATTGACTCGCATAGAAAAACAAACATTAGCACACAAGTGTAGTCATAATTACATTATTTCACACACACAAACACGCACACACATACACGGGTCCCTGCGAAAAACTTGGCCGGTGGTCACGCAATCTGAAAGTCTCTGACACTGTTAACCTACAGAGAGCAGAAAATGAGGGATTAGTACTGTAGATGAAAATATAAACAAAAATTAATACAAATAATTTTCAATGGGGTTATTTTGCATAAATATGTTGTTCAAATTCGTTAGAAAGGCACCAGGTACAATAAAAGCAAAGTATAGTCCGCAAGCCAAAGTTAACGATGCAGGACTTTGTTTTACATAAAATGCACTTTGTGCATCACTGATATACAGTTAGTATAACTTTATTTAGATTTTCTGCATGCAATCCTACAAGCATCAACAAGTTATGCACAATAAAACAAGGTGCTTACCAAAGGTGGTGATTAATTAATTCTGAAACCAGCTAATGAAGTATGCGCAGACTCCCTGGATACTTTTCCAGCAGTATTCCTCAGCCATCTTGGCTGCTTGACTCTCCTCTGCCACAGTGGGTCTCGCTGTGATGGTTTTTGCAGGTTTACGTGTATTAACAGGCTTTAAAAAAACAGGCTTGATATGTTCAATGTCTGGTTTGGCTGGTTTCTGTTTTTTAGGCTGCTGCTTGTGGCTGGGAGGTTTGGTAGGGGTGATGCTGGTCTTGACCTGCTGCTGTTGCTTTTGCTGGTTCTTAGAAGCCTGGGTAGGTTTTGGAACAGAGATTTTGGGCCATGAGGCATTGAACACCATTTGGACCTCATCAGAAGCAGAGCGGCACATCTGTGGCTTGTAGACCCGTGGTCCCTGGCAGGCGTTGTGGAGCTTCCTCATTTCCCACATGATCTGAGTGAAAAAGTGCCGAGGGTTGTTGTTGTATGATCTGCAGAGGTTAGGCTTGCCCAAGAAATCGCACCAGTATGATTTGCCCTTGCTCTTGCAGGAGACACGCAGCTTGGTTGAGTTGGTCTTGCCAGAGATCACCATGGTGCAGGTATCTTTAGCTTTGGTGTTGAAACGAATGGGCTCATCCCAGATGCTTCCTCTCCGCTGCGGCTGTTGCTGCTGTTGGCTGTGTTGGGCGTTTTCGACGTGGTTAAGGCTGTTCCCCTGGGTACTGCTGTTCTGAGCCTGTGCATTGATGGCCCAAATGAAGCAGACCAGAAGGAGAGCAGCTCTGCATGTGGCTTTCATGATTGAAGTGTAGAAGGGACTGAGCAGAAGGTGCGATGCTTGCTTTATAAATACAAGTCCTACAAAGGGGTCTTTGAGCAGGGCAGAGTGCACACATCCATCAAGACTGGGGGGCCTCTCCAGTCTCCAGTCTGTTGCTGCCTGAAAGAACTAATTGTAGAACTAAATGTACTCTATGTGGGATCAGTGTGTAAGTGGTTTCAAGAGTGTAATATATTGCCTGTAATATAATAAATGCGTAGTTACTGTCTTGCACAGTATTTGCAAACCGATTTCACTAATTATTTTACAAGGTGGCAAATTCCTATGATTTTTTACAATCTGAATCCTATGAAAGTAACATTTTTTAAAAATGTTAGCCTAAAGGTCCAACCTTACGCATAACCCTGTCGGGTGTAAGCAGGCCATATGAAAACATACAAATGAGATCACACGATTTAGCCAAGAATTTGACAAAATTTAAGATAATTATGAATTGCCATGAGACTGTGTAGGTATTTGTGTGTTTTAGAATGGTTTTGTGGATTGGTTTCTTCTCTGAGTGTGTGTTGATGGTTTGAGGGAGGGACATGGGTGTGGTTAGACTCATGGAACCTTCATGGTCTTCATTATAAAATCCTACATGCTAACATAAGTGGCCTATTGACTATTGATGTGAAAGACATTTTAGTTTCACAAGAAGAGACAAGGAGAGTAATTCACCTGGAACACATTTATGTTATGTCAATGTAGTGTTTGTTTTACGTGACATACATGTAGCTACTATAGCCTACTAGTGTGATTTATAAGGAGTCATGGGATTTTTTTATTTTTAAACAAAGACAGTCAATGAAAATGGCTGTGTACTTTTAGCTACCAGAGATCAGCAATATACATTTGACATTACAAGGCAAATGCATTTGAGTAGTTTTCGACACTTCAAATCAACTTATTAAACAAACCAATTAAACCAGATGTCTTTTCTGTCTACCAGAGTTATACTTTTGTAGGAATTATACTTTATATAAACTAAAAAAAAAATGTTTTTTGACAAAATGCCAGTCAAGTAAATTATGTTCACCTCGTTGAATATTCATTCTTTGTATAACAAAAAATCACGCATATTTCAGGATCTGAGAGAAATAAAATTCGGATCAGTGATGGTGAATGACTTAACTGGAGTAAAGAGGAGACCGCAGCATTCAATGCAATCGAAACATGGATGCTAAATAAAACTAGGAGTTGGGCCTATGAATAAAAAAAACTAACAATAAAGAAAAGGTATTTGTATAATTCCTAAATGTTTATAGCCTACAATCGTCTAATCTAATTTTTTTTTGAATTATTATGTCTTTCAAAAAACCATCCAGCATATTAAACTCCGCCACTTCCGCACTCAGTGTGTACCTGTAACCATAGTGACGAAACGGAAGGTGTTATCCGCGCTGATTGTTGTAATCGAAAGGTTGAGGTTAGTCGAAAAAGTTTAAACCTGCTTGTTTATATTCGACAGCGGAGGACATTAAAAAACGATGGACTCAGTACTTCTATACGGAGAAGCTGAAGGATATATTCAAAGTCTGGAGAAGATGTCACTGCGTGATATCGGAAGCCCAAGGTATGTGAATATCTAGAATTAAACAAGACAAACACGCTCGTGTAGAATAGCGTTACCCATGCGCATCGTCTTGTGTGTGTGTGTGCCTATGTGTAACTTAAATTATGGGGACACAATGTCTCCACACAAATTTGGCAAAATACTTGTCCTGGTGGTGAAATGTTTTGGTCCTCATGACTCATGAGGAAAACAGCCGCTTAAATGATCTTATGTTTTTTGTTTGTTTGTTTGTTTTTAATGTAAAATTGCAGAACGTTTTCTGTGATTTATAAATGTGGATAGTAGATACAGTTTTGTTTAGTATACAAATCATTATGACCATGGAGAGTCCCCATGAAAACATGAAACAGTGTGTGTGTGTGTGTGTGTGTGTGTGTGTGTGTGTGTGTGTGTGTATAGGTGGTTTCGCCAACATGAATTCATTGAGAAGCTGAATATGCAAGCTATTCTGAATGCCAGTGCCAATCAGGAGGAATTCATAAAAGACCTCTTTGTTTCTCTTGGAAAGGTAGGCCTGGTCATTTTTGTTGGGTAAAGTAGTTTAATGTGCCAATTTCATGTAAAGCACAATTACAAATAGAAATGATAAAATGGACTAACTTAGACTATTCATTCCAAATATTCATTCCAAATATAAATTACTTTTTCCAGATACCAACACTGATACATGCAATGATACTTACAGAAGTCTGGAAACATAAAGTGTTTCCCATAATTTGCAAACTCCAGGACTTTAATCCAAAGAGCACATTTCTGCTCTATATGGTGGTAAGTAGACTCAACTTTAAATGACCTAGTTTTCAAAACCATGCCAGGCTCTTGTTTAAATACATTTTCTTCTACTCTCTGTGGGTCATAGTATTTCCCCCTAATTTCAGATTCACCATGAAGCTACCACTATAAACCTGCTGGAGACAATTATGTACCACAAGGTAAGCATATATTTACTGAGAAAACAAGTTTTTATATATCTGGATTTGTAATTTTGTAAAAAAAAAAAAAAAAAAAATAGATGGCCTATAAACTTAAGACGACATTATATAATATGGTAGTAATATGAGAATGCATAAATGTTGATGTGTTTTACACGTGTAGGAGTCCAGTGAAGCTGCTGATGATAGTGTACTTGACTTAGTCGATTACTGTCATCGCAAACTCACACTTCTGGCAGGACGTTCTGTCTCTGGAGAGATCCCAACTGAGGACCGAATTACACAGACACAGCTGTTAGACACAGGATCTGTGCAGGTAAAGAACACTTAAGGCCCATCCACACCAAGGACGATAACTATAAAGATATTGTTCACAAAATCCTTCTAAATATAAAAGAATAGCAGAGTTCATACCACGAGAACGGCAATGAGATATGATATCGCTGGAATCACTTTCAGAACCATTTTCTTTCCAGCTGATGAACGATAAAAACAATTACAGCCAATCAGAATCCATCCTGCTTAGCCTGAACATTTAACATTGTGGATGATTAAATTGGAGCGTGCGTGCTTAGAATAAACAGAACTTGTACAATGTTTGTTGCAGGATCTGCAAAGACAAAGTGACTTGTTAGAGTTTGAAATCTCTATCAAGGCTCTGTCAGTACTGTGCTACATCACCGATCACATTGAGAGGTATTACAACTACTGTTTATTTAAAGAGACGTTATTAAACATTTTACTGAAAACAAATGATAAAAAGTATGCAGTTTAGAAACAAATCGGATATAAAATATATTTACAGTTTAAATACATATGTTTGCTAATGTATGCTAAAATTTCCCCTTCTAATGTAGTTTGAGTTTGAGTGTGCTGTCGAGGATGCTGTGCACTCATAATATGCCCTGTGTGCTGGTTCAGTTGGTGGAAAATTGCCCCTGGAACAGAGGTTTGTGTGTTTTAAACATGTATAATCATATATTTATTTTCGTTTTTATTCAAGAACCTCACACAATCAGAATACATAGGAATCAAATTATAGAACACCAGCAACTGAGCTGCACATTTTTCAGGAAAAGTGCTCATAAAGTGGGACAAAATTGAATTGAGAAAAATCATATGCTGTTGCGTTATAGGCTGCAATTACTGTCTGCTTAAAGGGTTAGTTCACCCAAAAATGAAAATTAAGTCATTAATTACTCACCCCCATGCTGTACCAACCCCGTAAGACCATCGTTCATTTTCGGAACACAAATGAAGATATTTTTGATTCAATTTGAGAGCTGGATCACTACCACATAGGCACCCTAAGGGATTGAAACTTGAAAGTCATCGAAGAAAATGTTTAAATATTCCATGTGCCTACAGTGGCTCCAAGTTTATCAAGCGATGAGAATACTTTTTGTGCGGAAAAAAACAACAAAATAATGACTTTTTCGACTATTTCTTCCTTGTAGGCCTGAGACGAGAGTTCAAGAGCTTTCCACAACGCATGCGCGAGAACTGAACAAGGAGTAGAGTTAGATCACAGTTCTCGCGCATGCTTTGTGGAAATCTCTTGAACTCTCATCTCAGGCCCAGAAGGAAGAAAAGGAATAGTCGAATAAAGTCGTTGTTTTTGTTGTTTTTTTCGCACAAAAAGTATTCTCGGCACTTGATAAACTTGTAGTTGAGCCACTGTAGTCACAAGGAATATTCAAACTATTCTTCTATGACTTTCTGGGCCGTCAAGTTTCAATCCCTTAGAGTGCCTATGTGGTAGTGATCCACCTCTCAGATTTAATCAAAAATATCTTCATTTGTGTTGCGAAAATAAACAAACCTCTTACGGGATTGGTACAGCATGGGGGTGAGTAATTAATGACTTAATTTTCATTTTTGGGTGAACTAACCTTTTTAAATCTATCCAAACACTTGTACTGTATATATTGACATTAAAGAGCAAAGGCTTGTCTTGTCTAACCTTATTTCTGCCATGGAATAAAAAATAAAAAGGCTATTGTGACTCGCGATTCTGATTTTTTTTTTTTTTTTTACAATTCCAGGTTTATAACTTGAAATTCTAACTTTTTTCTTGCAATTGTAAGTTTAAATCTAGCAATTCAGACTTTATTTCTCGCAATAACAAGGTAATATCTTGCAATTGAGAGGAAAAAAATTTCAGAATTGTGAGCTGAAAGTCACAATTACCTGTTTGTTTTTTTATTCCATTGTTGAAACAAGCTTCCACACCGCTTCCACAGCTTTCCACACAGCAACATTTGTTAAAGGAATAGTTGACCCAAAAAGGAAAATTTTCCCATAATTTACTCACTCTCAAGCCATCCTAGTTCTGAATGACTTTCTTCTTTCAGCCAAACACTTGGTGTTTTATTAAATAAAATTCTGCATTAAATGACATTAAATAGATACACATTTTAGAGATTAAAAAAAACATGGACACTATTCAATTGCAATACAAAGCTGGGAAGGATATTATATAATAGGCTATAACTCCATTTGTGAAAGAAGAAAGTCATTTACACCTAGGATGGCTTGAGGGTGAAATACTATTTTTTAAGGTAGAATTGGTAGGTACAGTTTTTGACAGCATAGTCTTTTTCTTCCATGTAGGTACTCTGGAGAAATACACAGAGGGGAGGTGGAGGCCCGTCCTGCCAGAAGATCAGCTAAAGTTAAATAAACATGACGGCCAGGTGTGGATGGCTTTACTGAACCTGATACTCAAACCAGACTGCCAAAGAAAATATAATTTCAATAGCTTTAACAAAGGACAACTTTTAAAGGTAAGACTTTACATAGTTGGGGAAATATCACTGCTGGCAGAGCCATAATGTTCCTGTTGTGTTTTAAAGATGTATAGAAACATGATATATGCATACTGAGACAATACCAGTTTAATAATATAATTATGAAACACAAAGAAGAAGAGGCAGTTATCCCACTTTTTCCATGCTGAATTATACATTTTCTCTTAGCCTTTTTAAGCTCTTATACCGTCTCTGCATATGTACGTGTTCATTGACACTATATATGTTTTATTTAATGGTTATCTATCTTTATGCTTCTTTATATCCCTCTGTGTGCAGCTTTGTGGGTTTTTGACAGACGTTGTGATAGATCAGTTACCAAACCTACTTGATCTCAAGCAATTCCTCAGTCAACTTGCTGTCACAGATCCAGTGGCCCCCAAAAATGATCTAATCCTGGAACAGGTACTCCAGCAAATGCACACACATATAGATTACAAGTTTGGAGTCAGTGATATTTTTTTTTTATTAATTAATTCTTTTATTCAGCAAAGATTCATTAAATTGTTCAAAAATTTACATTGTTAAGATGTCAATTCTATTTAAAATAAATGCTGTTCTTTTGAACTTAGTAATGTATTTCAAAGAATCCTGAAAAAGATGCAGGGCTGTTCTCAATATTGATGATAATAATAAGAAATGCTTCTTGACCACCAAATCAGCATATTGGAATATTTTCTGAAGTAATGACTGCTGAATATTCAGCTTTGCTATCAAAGGAATAAAATACATTTTAAATATATAATGGAAACCAGCTATTTTAAATAGTAATTATATGTCACAATATTACTGTTTTTACTTTATTTTCATCAAATAAATGCAGCCTTGGTGAGCATAGCAGCCTTCTTTCAAAAACATTAAAAATCCCGACCCTAACTTTTGAACAGTAGATGGTAACATGTCCATTTAAATTAACAAAAACAAAACATCTTTGTCATTCATTTAGGTGCCAGAGATATGGAATAATATTGTAATGGAGAACAGCAACAAGTGGAAAGCCATAGCTAAATTCCAAGTGACACATGTTTTTAACCCCTCTGAAAGTGAACTAAGAGAACAAGCTAGCAGGTGAGAATTGATGTGTATCTGGAAATTTCTATTGTAAGGGATGAGAAGATGAGGTGCAGTTATAAAAGGTTAGTCTAACAGTATGCGAATATTCTGTATAAATACCAAGTTCTGTCATGAAACTGATGGGTGCTTAATGCAAACTGATGACATTTACATTGTTTACTACACTTATGTGCGTTTGCACATTCTGATTGTTTTCTGTTGCATCTGTAGCCAATTAGCTTGGTGTTCATCATTTCAATATCTGGTTAGTGTTTACTATAGCAGTCTGCAGCATGATTCAGAATTCCCATTCAGTTAGTCACTATGCATTACGTCAATGAATGAAGAATTGGGATCGTGCCTGATCACCTCCGGGTGTTAACATCCATGGCTTAACCTGGCTGAGATGAGGAAAGCCGACAAAATTTGCTTTCTTGACTTCCCCATCTCCCAGGCTAGCCTCTTCAGCGACGCCGTTGAGAACTTTGCCCAGCAGTTCTTGGCGGTACAGAAGCAAATGAAGGCGACAGCCCACATGTTGCCTAGACAGGCCGATGCTGCTTCCACCCATTCACCAGAGGCAGTTCCTACACTTTGCGTTGGAGGGACGGGCATTAGAGATGCGCGGTTGGAGGTTACAGCCACGGACTCCGCGGGGGCGGATGACATGACTAAAAAAAATATTTTAATTAAATTCGGGCGGGTGGCAGGCGGTTGAACCAAATTATGTGGCAAAATACATTTCCTATTAGGCTACAATGAAAATATTGTACAGTAGCCTATCAGATAACAACATGACATCATGACTTTTGCGTAAACATACACGCCACTTTCGAGTCAAGTGGCGTGTTATCTCTACACATTTTGAGCTATCCGCGTGTATGCGTGTATGTCTAACGTCCGACTGATTTCGCGTGTCTGTACACGCCGTCAAATGTCCGCGCGAAACAAAGCAAAATGTAGATCTACATCTAGGGAGCGATCTTTTTTTTTTCCTAGGATGGTAAGGGAACAGTCATAAATGCCATTAACCCCAGTGACGGTTAGGTTTAGGGACGGGGTTGAGGTAAGTCATATATTTATATACTGTATACAGTAATAACGTTAAGTCAACGGTGTTCATAAACACGCTGAAAAGCGATTATGCGTCTTGATAGCACGCCAAAAATGGAAATACGAATTGGCGTGTCATACACACGCTACTTCATGAGATCAGTCTGCAGATAAGGTCAGTGTGAAGAGGTTCAGTGTGTGTGGATGGAAGAAAACAGGGTCGGCATGACTGGGACTCACATTTATTCAGAAAAACAAAAAGAAACAAAGCACACAGTAGCGCATTCGCCACCATAAACAAAACACACAATCCAACACTTGCTTCTCAGTTTCGGTTGCAGTAGCCACTTGCGAAGTCCCAGTCTAACTCTCGCTCTCTCATTCCCGCCGGTTATATGCGGCCTCTCCACGCCAACACACAGGTGTTAATCATCTGCACTTGACCTACTCACCGCGCGGCTCCGTCCTTTCTCTCCCGCTACAGACTTCGCAAAATCACACCCCCCTCGCCACAGTCAGGTTTGCCAAAGTGTGTTTAATTTATTTATTATTGTCCCTGCGTGCCGATCGGAGACGGAGTTCACTGCTGATATTCTGAGAGCTTTCTAGTGTCGCTCGCGGCTGTCATCATCAGCGCCTTGTATCGCCCAATCAGCGGATGGCGGGTGGGTGCGGTTTTGAAAATTGGTCAAAAACATTGGGGCTTCAGGTCAACTGGGATAAGAGCAAACTCTCTCCTGTGCAGAGGATCTCTTTTCTCGGTATGGAGTCAGTATGAAGGCTCGTTTCTTTCAAAGGCTGGACTGCCACTGAAAAGATTTCAGGGGCTTTCAGAGGCTCCTGGGGCATATGTCATGCACAATTGGGGTTACGCCACTGGGATTGCTTAATATGAGACTGCTTCAGCACTGATTACACGACTGAGTCCCGAAATTGCATGGCACCATGGTACGGTCCAAGTGATCATCATCAAGACCCCCTCACCACCACCACCCCACCCCAGCTAATTTGGAGGTACTTCGGAACAGCTCAGGTATACCTGTTTGCTCCTCCGGACACGAGCCACTGCCATTTGTTTTATTCTCGACCGATGGGATTCTCGGCACGGATGCACTGGCACACAGCTGGCCCCAGGGCCTATGCAAGTATGCTTGAAAGTGGAACCTGTTCACTTTCAAGAAGACCACCGTAAATGCCCAATCAGAGTCATTCTTTACTTTCTGCAAGAGGGGTTGGAGCGAAGGCTTTCTCCCTCCACCCTGAAAGTGTATGTTGCCACCATCGCCGCACATCACAATGCAGTAGAAGGTAAGTCTGTGGGAAAACACGACTTGGTCATCAGGTTCCTGAGAGGTGCGAGGAGGTTGAATCCCCCCTTAACTTCGCCGTATTCGCTCTTGGGAACTCTCTGTAGAGAGCACCCTTTGAGCCTTTGCAGTCAGTTGAGATTTAAGATCCTGCGAGTTCTCTGTGCAAAGCCTTATCCTTCTTCCGCCCCAGTTGTGCGGGGGGATCAGTTGGCTTATACGGGGCACTGGAAGGCGCAGTGATTGTGTCATTTTTCTTAGGGATCCTAATTCATCAGTCACTGACATAACGCACAGTGACTGACTGAATGGGAACATCTACTGTAGGTTACCTACTGAATGATGGAACGGAGACGGTACGTTCTCTCACCACAATTGAATGACCGGGCTCTGCGAAAACTTAGTGAGTGACTCTCTGCACACTTCCTATATACCTGCAGCACGGGCCGTGGTTCGTGATGTAAATCTCACTTGCCAATGTACATTGGCTATTTCTGTTTAAACTTCAAGGTGATAGGGCTCTCAGGCGTGATCTCAATTCGTTAGTCACTGATGTTAAAATTGTCATATCCTTTACCATTCTTAAAATCTTTTGAGAGTTGTCATGGTATAACTGTTTCTCTACACCCTTCCAATTAGGTTGTCTCAAACATATAATCTGGATGTGATGGAGAATCTAATCCCAGACAAACCCAAGTGTGGAGCTTGTGGAAGAATGGGTGCAAAACGCTGCTCCCGCTGTCAGGGAGAGTGGTATTGCAACAGGTAAAGCAACACATGTTGGTTTTCTGACAAAATTGATTCAGGTTTTTTATTTTACTCCATTATGTTACTAATCAATTCTTTACTATACCCTTTCATGTTTTGTCTTTGTCTGTATTTGTTCAGGATTATATGATTGTTAATTCTATTTGTTTGGTATTTCTCTGTAGAGAGTGTCAGGTGAAACACTGGCCCAAGCACAAGCCTGCATGCAAACTCATGGGAGAGACCATACAAAGACTGCAGGAGGAACTGAACATTAGGAGCTGAATTAGAGCACTGCTAAATGAAAAGGATGGTGAGATATAAGAACACATCCACTATGAACAGTCATATTTAATGGACACTAATGGAAAAAGACAAAAAGATACAACAAACTGTTCCTGACAGTCTTCTTTCATTAGCTATTCTATGTTTGTATGTTGTGTTTAAAAAGAGTGAATAGATAGTTCCTGATGAAAGCTTTCATATGTATAAATATTCTTTGTAAATGCATGGTCATAAAACTATTATTTGCACACATTGTTAAATTGATTATATTGATAACTGTTACAATATAACCATTATTCTCACATTTTGTTATTAAATGAACTGAATTAACTGCTAAAATACATTGGAGATCTGGTCAGTTTGATACAACATTATTGCATTTGTTGTAAAATCTATTCTTTACCACTTCCAAAGGACATGAGAGAGACGTTAGGGTTTGTGAAAATCAGTAATAGATGTAACAGATTTGGAACTTCACAGTTTAAATTTTATTCACAAACCCTTTTGGAATATAAGAAAAAAATATTTGGTTTGTACCATTGGGCACTATGTAGAAGTGTATGACCACTGGATTCTGTACTGAGAATTTTAAAAAATTAAAAATTGCACACACTGGACATTTAAAACTATCGTCATTATTTTGTTGTGGACACACGACAATATGTAAGACACTCAAAAGAAGAAAACAGAAATACAACAGAAACACAAAATCTTTACTCAGGATTATCTGTTCTATAATAGTCATTTGTTTTGGTTATTCTATTTTAAGGTGCCCTTGTTACAGTGTGATTTAGTACTGTATTTAAATATTTTAAGTAAGTAATAATAATTAACAACATGTACTTACTATAGGGTTAAGGTTCAGAGTAGGATTGGGTTTATGGTTAGCTGCATGTAATTATGCATCATTTACTGTTATTATTACTACAGTAAGTACATGCAACGTGTAACAAGGACACAGAAATACACATTTACCTTTGTTTTTAGTTGTGTAGTTGTCTTGTATCAAAAGTACTGACATTTCAAACAAACAGGATCAACCAGTCTTTTAGGACATTGGCTTCCGATAATTTATCTTTATAGACATTGAGTCTTTTCCAGTGCATTTAACATTCTTTTTGCAAATTGTTTTTCTTGTACTAAGAAACAATTCTGAAACTAATACTTGATTCATTCATTGAACAATAAAATGTAGAAAAAAGTAACTTTCACTAAAGAACAGAAAAGATAACTTGATAAATGAAGTACTTCTGGATGTTTGGTTCAGAAAAACCATTTCATGGTTTCATAATCAAAAACCATCGATAAAATACCACAGTGCACAGACTGATATCACAGACCTTTCTGCCCCTTTAAATCGCCTTAAAATGTTAAAAAGACCTGTACAAAATCTAGATGTACCCACAATTATGTCTAAAGGACATATTTTATAAAATAAGATATTAACAAAATGTATACAAAACTTTCAAAAACGTATTGAAAGTGTAAAAAAAAGAACATCTTGCTGTTTACCATGTACTGTATGATGAATTGTATGTAGAATTTGCTTGAGTATATTCTTCAGTTAAGGTCTGAGTATGTTTTATTGTTAGAAACCGGAATACATATTTTCCCTTTTTTCCTGTCTTCTTTGTCTTCCTCGGAATCTGACAAAGACAATCCCTGACAACAAAAAACAAATATAAATTTAGACTTTAAAAATACATTTAAGCCTTGAAAGCTTGAGATACTGTAACATGCAACAGAATATGATTGTCTTACCTTGCTAAAATCTATTTAGCTCCAGTTTTCACCACCACTGTAAAAGAAAAAGAATAAAAATTCACTAAAACTCCACAAAAATGACAGTACTTCTAGTCACTTCATGTATTCAAAGATGAAGAGTCAGATAAAAACTTATCAAAGGTGGAGGAGAGACAGGAAGCCATGCAATGCTACATAAACAGAGTGACGTGTTACTGGAAGAAGGTGGAGGATCAGTGACAACTGATTTCAGTGAAACAGGAATGTGTAACACCAGTGGCAGAACAGAGTCTGTAAGTAACTTTATGAATCATGCGCAAGACTGTAGAACTTGAAGGGTACAAATATGTGTGACAGAGAAAAGTGGAAAGATGGAAATAAGGAATGAATGAGCACAAAGTGAGAAACATCAGCAGTAAAAGAAGCAGAATCAACAAGAGGAACAATGACATGAATGAATGTGTTTGTTTGATAGAGGATATGTATGGATATAATGCAAAGGTAGAAAAAAATAATGGACGAACAGATTGACTGTTGAAAGGTTTTGTACCTGTAGGCTGCATGTACGGTTGCATACCCCTGGGGAAAGTGTATGTGTGTGTAAATTTGTGTCACCAGTCAGGCTGTCTCGGGGGGGCAGAGGCCCGAGGATACCACCTCATTGTGTCATAGGATGGATAGCTGGAAAAAATACAGGTTCGTTTTGAAAAAACCTTTTGAGTTTTGAAATTTTGGAATGGCTGTAAAAATTCATCAGATCTAAAATAAAAAAATATGGTCTTTAGTTTAGCTTAAAAAAAAACACAGAAAACTGTCATGCGGAGTATGGCTGTGTCCGAAACCTATAAATGCTGCCTTTGGAGGATGCATTGCAAGGAAGCAAGACATCAAGGCATGTTAGAATCCAATGTTAGCTGAAAAACCTTCATCTGATCAATTTTTAAAGGCAGCTTATGTATAGTTTGCTTTCTTTGATATCCCACAATTCTGTGTTCCATTCTGTGACAGTTGAGCTAAAAAAGAAAGATGGCGTCTGAAAGTTGCGTTTTTTTTTTTTTTACCAAATGCTTACAGTTTCCACTGCTGATGTCATTTCAAGTGAGAATTTACAATTGTAGTAATACAATATTTTTCTTACGTTTTCAACAAAGCTCGCTCTATTTTGCAGTAGATCATTAAACGATCATTAAATTCTGTCCGAAATCAAACAAAGTTATCACCTGATAGGGCAGTGAGGCAACAAGTCAGCTGAATAAGTTTTCGAACGCAGCCGGTAATATGGATAGAGATGCATGCTGAGAAATGGATGCCATGCTATTACACTGTTCAATATTTGCATTTCATAAATAATTTTGATAAATTTATTAATTTTGTATGTATGAAATGTGTTTTGATTGATTTAGTAAGATTTCAGAATGAATTATAACAGATCAATCAAAACAAGTAGGGATCCACAAACGTAAAAACTATGCTGATAGTTACACAACATCTATTGTTCTTGCTTTTGCCAATAAAACAATATGATTAAACTATGCTATTTTGTGTTATTTGTAAATTAACACAAATGTTAATGCCAAGTATGGTGTTATAAATATACATTCAATTTAAAAGGAACACTTTAAATATATATATATATATATATATATATATATATATATATATATATATATATATAAAACGTTGCAAGATTTACAATGTTAATAGTAATGGAAGTCCATCATAATCATGTGAAAAGGGTCCATACAGCACATACTCATAAAAATGTCCATGCACACAATTGATTACTAGACATTTAGCTACAACTGATGATTTCAGCATGCACAGAGATGAAGAGGTGGAATAAACTCTACCTGCTCATCACGGGGTTGTTTATGCCATATAAAGGCTCATTATGATAACCACTGACAACAACATCCACACTACTGTAAAACAGTGAATGTAAAAGTAAACATCAGCTGCTTGTAAAATTAACATGAAATGTGTGAATAAAAAGTGAACAGTTCACAGAGTGAAAAAAATATACATAAATATAGTATTGAAGGTTTCAAAAGTGCAATAATAGGAAGAAAAGTAAAAAAAATTGAAAAGTTGAGAGATGAAAAGATGAGAAATTAGAAAGAAGAAGTGTTTGCTTATCAGAACGTGAACAAAAGGAGAATATGGAAATGAAGAGTGGAAGTTGAGGAAGAGACATAAGATGACTAAAAGTAGGAAACATCTCGGTTACATATGTAACCCTCGTTCTCTGAGTAGGGAACGGAGACGTTCCATCAGATGTCGACGAATGGGGTTTCGCTTAGAAAGCCAATCTACTTTGAGTATTACATTACGAGCCAATGGCAAAGAAATGTCGCGAGGAGTACTAGTTCAGAGAACCAGGTCCGGGTGGGCCAATGCGGCACGACCAAAATGACCTGCTCCTCGTCCTCCCTGACTTTGCGCAGGTTCTGCGTAAGGCGGCTTACTGGGGGAAACGCATATTTGCGGCATGCGACCTGCTGCGCACCAGTGCATCCGTGCCGAGCGTGCCCTCAGTCAGGAAATATAGGGCGCAATGGATCAAGTCATGAGTGGCAAACAGATCTATCTGTGCATCCCCGAACTGGTCCCAAATCAGCTGAACCTACTGGGGATGGATTTGCCATTCTCCAGGGAGTGGCTGAAGTCCCCATTTGCTTTCGACTCCATATGAGGAGGTGGCGGGCGAGTTGCGACATACGGCGAGAGCATAGACCACCTTGATGGTTGATGTACGTTACAGTGGCGGTATTGTCTGACTGGACTAGTACATGTTGACCCTTGAGCAATGCCCGGAAACGGTGCAGAGCAAGACGTACTGCCAGCAACTCGAGGCAATTGACATGCCATAGGCACTGGGATCTTGTCCAGGAGCCCACAGCAGCATGCCCATTGCACATGGCGCCCCAGCCCATGGTGGGGGAATCTGTTGAGACAACAATTTGCCGGGAAGCTCATTCCAGGGGCACTCCAGCCCATAGAAAACTGAGGTTCGACCAAGGGGTGAAGGTCTGACAGCAGGTCGGAGTAACTTTTACTCGGAGCACACTGTGTTGCCATGCCCACCTCGGAAGTCAGTGGCACAGCTGAAGCGTTCTCAAATGAAGCAATCCAAGCGGGACCGGGGGACAAGTTGGGAACCTCAGCGAGTTCACACGAACCACAGACGTCCCCTCTGTGGTGCAGCGAAGCGGAATGACCGGCCCGGACATGGACAGCGTAGCGGCCCAGTGCAGGGGCATGGTCATAAACCGCACCCTGACAGAGGAGGCCAAGGAAGGACCAGCGTTTCCGCGGGGGCCTGCTCTTCCAGGGGTCTGGTGACAGAGGTGGAGGAGAGTGGTACGGCCCAGGGAAGGCACACACCGTCATCCGAGCTCTGAGACAGAGGGGGATAAGAGTGGCGAGGATCGTAAGCAGCGCACACTGTCATCTGCGCCCTCTGGGGGCTCAGAGATGGTATACAGCTCTTTGGAGTAGAGATTCTCCACCGGCCCTCCACCGGGGGAAGGAGAGGCCCTGCAACCACTTCCTGAAAAAAACTCCAACCCACGTCAGAGCTGCCCATAACGGGAGCGCCGCATTGCCTGGCGTTCAGCGAGGCTGGTGCGGGCAGGTGAGTCAGGGCTGGCCGCGGGGTCAGACAAGTTTAGCTCCAAAACTCTGGAATGGCCTTCCCGATACAGTCCGAGGCTCTGACTCGCTGACACAGTTTAAAACTAGATTAAAGACGCATCTCTTTAGTCAAGCATTCACATAATGCTTACCTTTTAGTCCTCTGTTATGCCATACGGAACCGTTTGCCTCTGAAACTGCTTAACGCACCAGTGGGGCTCGACAGCCTTTTAGACAAACGGGTCGGCGCGTATGGTCGGCGCGTATGGTTGGGTTGCGGAGAGTTCAGGTTAGGGAGAGTTTGTGAGTTATAACGGAAATCATTATGAACATCAGCTATGCTAATTATTTCCCATCTGCCTTTCTGCTGTTATCTCGGGACGCTTGTCCCGAGAAAAATGGTGTTCGTCAGGTCCAGTTTTGTGTCCAGCCTCTCACGGGGATTTCGGATGCCCCAACGCCTGTGATGAGACGACTCAACGCCTGCGATATGTTATGGCGCCGTTTTATTCATAAACAATATTTATATTTAATATTTATATTTAAAGGAGCTAAACGCAAGTCTCTGGGTTTTTGCAGAACTACGCCCCCTCTGGCGACAAGCGAAACTGCAACCAGAGCTGTGCGCGTGGAGGAACATGGAGTTCATGTGTTCATGGAGGAACACACACACACACACACACACACACACACACACACATGTACGTTTGCACGAGCTGTTCATAACCTAAGGAGCACACTGTGCGGCACACATCTTTTGTTACAGTCATAATGAGGCAATACAGTAATAATTCTGCAAGTCATTTAAAATATATGAAAGGAAAGTCATTCGAGTAAATTACACACGTGAGAGGGGGAAACGGGGGTAGTAGAAAACTTCGGTTTTTGTTTTCATCTATCTCCATGTGCTTACTGTAGCCACTTATGATTGAATTATTATGGAAACACGTTCAGTTATCACTTTGTATAGGACCCGTTTGAGCCCTAGAGCCGACCGGAGATCTCTCCGTTTGTTGAAAGCTTCCCGATGCTGATTCCGACGTATATATCTGTATATATATATATCTATATTTGGCACTGGACAGACTGAAGTTTTATTTTCTGTCTCACGTGGAGTTTGCGTTGGGGTTTGCAATGAGCTACAAGCCGGTCTCTTTCCGCGCCATATACAGATTAAATGAAGTGCACGTCACCGAAAGCAACAGATATGAGCTGGATTTTATTAATCATCGGCTAATTTCAAAATCAGCAAAGACAGCAATAAGAGAGATCGGCAACAGGCCTGGTAAGATCATTTCATTTCTTTACTTTTAATGAAGATGGTAGTGTTAAGCGTCTGCGACTTACTTTCACTTTGATTTGCGATAGATTGCGGCGCTGACTTGATGAAGGGGCTCAGCTCAGCTGCTCATCTGAGGTGATGCGCGTCGTCATATATGACTAAAATAACATGACATAACCTATAGCTTGGTTTCAACAACCAGATGCATTTACACTTGTCCAGTTTCATCTGGAATGCGGCCCAGATCACGTCCTCAAGAGCGATCGGATTCAAATCCGTCTCGAATGCGTTTCGGAGGGCATTTACACCCTTGTCTTTTCACGATCGAATAGCTATCCGATCACAGAAAACACATGAAGTGACCAGGTGTAAACAGCCCTTTTGAATCCATCGTCTACTTTTGTGGAAAGCTGCCTAGAGTTGTGTCGCTCGAGTTGTCATCTCTGATACGCAGAACGGCGGCGAATAGCTCCACGAACCTGCCAGACATAGCCAGGCGAGCGTGAACGCGCATGACGTCACGCCCAGTCTCAGATTCGAGCCCGAATCCCTCTTATATATTTCACTGTACAGGATTATAGAGGCGATCGCAGTGATCAAAGAAGGGCTCATTCAGCCCATCAGGCGATTGTTTAAGCATGTATGGGTTAGAAAACGGCTATTTTTAATATGAAAAGTTGCGCAATGCACCTTTAAACAATATGAATGTAAGCCAGAGGAGAACTGGCCCCCGACTGAGCCTGGGTTCTCCCAAGGTTTTTTCTCCATCCAATCTGATGGAGTTTTGGTTCCTTGCCACTGTCGCCTTGCTTTTGGCTTGCTTTGAGCTTGCTCAGTTGGGGTTATTTAGTGTTTAGCAATGTTGTTGATCTGTGTTGTGCTACTTTCATGTTATCAGTGTGAAGCTGCTTTGATACAATCTGTATTGTGAAAAGCGCTATATAAATAAATGTGACTTGACTTGACTTGACAAGTTTGGTAGCCAAAGTCTGCTTCTGGGCGACCGTGAACTGTGGGGCAGAGTCCTCGACCATGAGGACCACGCTCTTTTTGTGAGAGAAAAGCTTGAAGCAGTGCTGAAGCACCCAGGGAGAAACACACATGCTGTTCAGTTCAGCAGGCAGGAATATGAAACTCGCTGGAACTCACGCCAACACCGACTGGAAGCTGCTCGTCTAGAAGATTCTTGAAGATAGTCAGAGAATAGGCGTAGGAGTGAAGAAAACTTCTTGACTCCGAAGCGAAAACATATCTGCATAATGCCGGCGTCCTCCTTTATACCCACGAGGTGGGGCGGAGTTGCGCCACGCAAATTTCGCAGCCCCATGGCATTTCTTTGCCATTGGCTTGTTTTGTAATACTCAAAGTTGATAGGCTTCCTACAGTAAGTGAAACCCCATTCGTCGCCATCCGACGGAACTTGGAGTGACAACGAAAGGGGACAAGGTTGTTTCAAACACCTGTGGAGTGAAAGTCATTCTTGAATCTTGGTAAAAGATTTTTAGTTTAGCAGTTTCTTTTAGAAAAAGCTTGATCCGTTTTATAAGCCCAAATTTCACTTCACATTTGACAGGTAGATGGACCTAAATTCAGCAATTATAAACTCACTCATCATAGACGTCCTCAGTGTCCATCCTGCGATAGAATTTGGCAAGTTTTACTGACATGATAATGCTGGGAATGAGTAAAATACAGCATCCTCCCAGACCAAACCAGAAAGTGTTCTGAAACACACAAATGCACAAGAGAACACATTAGCTTAAATGTCCATAAACCGCTCATATAAATGCTTCTTTGAACACATATAAAAAGTGTCCTCATAGGTTTTAATTTAAAATATGAAAAAGGAATATGTGACCATACATACAATACCTTTCAAAAGTCTGAGGTTAGTAAGGACTCATCAAGGATGTAGTAAATTGATCAGAAGTGACATATAGGCATCACAAAAAATTTCTGTTTTGAATTATTGCTATTCTTTTAGACTTTCTAATCATCAAATAATGATGAAAAGTCAAAGTTTCGACAAAAATAGTTACATTTCAAGGCTTGTATGCATTGGCTAGCTGTCGGTTGTCCCGTTTATACCTTGGTTATTTGCAAAGTTAAAGCAGTAACTGATGTAATTGTTTAAACGTATAAAAATTATAGTTATTTTCAAAATATTACAATTAATTATATTACAAATTATATTACAAGTTACGACTCATTCATTAAATAAATAGAGCCATCGGATTGCTTTTATTTAATATTATCTTAATATTATCACATTTATTTAAAGTCATTATTAAAAGAGAGAGACAGATAACTGAAAGAGTCCCCTCGTTAAAGCATATAGCTAACTTATTAAAATTATTTATGAATGACAGGCAACACTGACAGTGACAAGGCTATCTTTATTTGAACTAATCATGTCATTTATTTAAATGAATTATGTAGAGTGTGAAATAAAACCGGTGTCACCAGTACATTTATATAAAAGCATTAAATTTAATGGAAAAAAATCAAACAGTTGGAAATTTTCGATGGGGATTGTTTTACTCATCATTATACTACTTGATGTTAAACTCCACATTTCCCTTAATCATGAAGTTAGACATGGAAAAGTGTAGGTGTAGTGGGATCCTTGTGCTTTTTTGTTTCTGGGTTATGCGCCAGGGTCTGGTATTCTTTCCCATTCTCGCCTTGCCAGAGAACTAAAGACTCTTTTGATAGGTTACGGTTTCCTTCTCTTCCCCTCTGTGCAAAACACAGCTGTATCAAACTTTTCTTACAAGTCCTGTGGGTGTGAAAGGGGAGAGTGCAGGTGCATTTCTAATTTTCTCCAAGTCAGACTCAGTAATACGCGGATGACGAACGCTGGTGTCTTTTCCATTTTTCCTGTAGCACTTTAAAACTGATTTAAAGACGGCATTGCTTGACTTGAAGTCTTTATCACTTATGATGTTGTTTTTTTATAATGTGACGGTTTATACCTGCTCTGAGACACATCAAACTTGCAACACTGTATTCACGTCCAGCGGTAGACTGAACAGAGGCATAAAACTCCCGCAATGTCTCATTTAAAAGAGAAGCAGAGTAGGTCTTGAAATCACAATTGTTCTGTCTTTGGCGCAAAAAGTCACTGAAAGTGTTAACTGCCCATTTGGTTGTCTCGTATTGACCTCATCTTTGTCGTCTTCAATCTGATCTTGCTATGTCGGTGTTGATTCTTTGTGCCGCTTTTTGTCATTCAACGTCTTCTATTTCATCTTGCACTTAAGCCTATTTCTCAAAATTGCCATATTCACCATACAAATTAAACGATATGCCAAAATCATTCATTTAGTCTACCTAAATAAACATTTTCATATGTGTCTCTCACTCTGTAAGTGTAACTGTGTTACTATGGTTACCAATGTTTATAGTAGAGGATTAATTTCGAACTTTAATCAAACTGACTGGAACTACCTGCGCATTAAACGGTTTTACTGCACACTTTCCAGCCAATCATAATTGAGTTTTTAAACAGCCCTTGCTATAAAATGTATTCAAACAGAAAAAAATCATTTTAAATTGTAATAATATTTTACAATCTTACTGTTTTTACTGTATGCTTAATCAAATAAAGCAGCCTTTGTGAGAACAAGGAACTTCTTTCAAAAATATTAAAAGGATTGTTTACATAATCAGTGCTTTTTCTATCTGTCCTCATCTAATGCTCATCTTGTTGTTGAGGTGTGATGAATCTCTTTTAAATGGATTGACCCAGTCTACAGGGATGTTCAGAGTATAAACAACAACAACAACATTGTACAACATAAATGTCTACAACTTACCATAAGGTCACATTCATTAAAGTCAGTTAATGCATATACCTAATGACACAATTAATGACTAGCTGAAAAATTCTAAGACTGAACTGAACAGACTTTCAGACTGTTTCCATCGACTGGAGCAGATTTTAAACACAGACTGAGAACACCAACTGAACGCAACTGTCTCTGACTCAGCAACTGTCTCTGAAATGTTTTTAAATTATTTTTATTAAAAAATAACCAACATTAAATTAACATTAACATTGAAATTAACATTAAATAAGTGCTTTAAAATAATTTTTAGTTCATGTTTAACTAATGTAGTTCACTAATTCTAACAAATTGAAACTTATTGTACTAAAGTGTTACCACATAAATGTAAATACTATACATATTTCAAGCAAGGCCAATTGACAATGCACAGGCAAACGGCAACAAAATTGTCCGTTGGATTTAGAATTTAACGAAAAATAACTGTCATGTTCACACTGCCCCAACAGTCACCGACAAATGCTGACTGAACATTCAGTCGGGTGAAAAAAAACCCCCGCCAACGGCAACAGACGGTGACAGAGGTAACACACTGATCTTACAAAACACAACAAACCTGTTTGTTGCCGTTTGTCTGTGTGGTGTGAATTGGCCTTTAGAATTCTGATATCAGTCTGTCAAGCTCCATATGTGACATAAAACACCATACAAGCAATTCATATGACTAATGTGATAATATTCCAAGTATCAAAAAGAGTAATGTGAACTCCCTGTCTAACATCTCCTTGTGTTTTTGATTTTTTTTCCCCCCAAACCCACAGAAAGTCATGTGGGCTTGGAGTATTTCACGCACATTACATAATCAATGTAACCAGCACATTTTCATCTCTTGATGGAAATAAATACAATGTACTGGCATGTAATATAGTGGGGCATCCCAGAGAGAGTAAATGGGAATTACTATCCCTTTAATTTAACAGCAGAAATCAGAGCCTGGGAAGTCCCCGATTACATGGCTCTGTTAATGTGAGTGTGTGTGTGTTTGCCTTAGGATTGTATATTTCTGTAAGTCCATAGATTTGTACACACACACTGCAATAACATCTCCCTTCCGCTGCATTTGGGGGCTCAGAGTGTGAACAGTGACAATCTTGTTCTGCTCTGTGTGTGTGTGTGTGTGTGTGTGTGTGTGTATTGGGGCACATTGATGCATATTCTGCACATATTCACGGGTATATCCAGTATGTCTCACGATGTGTGGGTTCTTGCATGTGCTATACTGTATGTTTTAAAATGGTTTTGTATATCTTACCACTGAGTCAACAATGAAGCTGCAGGCTACGATCTCTAGCGAGTCCACAATGTTGCTGATGGGCTTGCACTGGGCAACCTCCTTTTCCAGCTGCACATACAGAGACACACATTAGTATATAACTGATTTAGATGCAGTGTAACATGACAAAGTGGTGCTCTAAAGGAAAATGCTGGACTTTGTCTTATACTCACTGAGTGCTTGGCCCACACTGTATATTGTGAAAAGTATCCCACAATGTTCTTAATGAATTTTTCAGTCTCCTGTGACAAATTTAACAATACAAAAATTGTTAAAAAATGTATACACACTGTAACAGAGTATTTGAAAACTGAGCTATAAAAAATATATAAATCAAGATATTGCCTCTAAAAAGAAGTCTCAATGTCTTGTACAATTGGCTTCTTAAGTAAATGTATCTCGTTTTAATGATGTTTAGATTTTTATTTTTTTATTTTTACTGGAAAACATGTAATAATTAAGATACATGTATGTATCTATGGATCAAAATGTACAATTAGTAAATTAATAATAAATACTAAAATGAAATGTATATGTACCTGTTTGACCACATGAGAGACATTGTTGGAGATGAGATACTCTGCTGCCTCGATGGCATTCAGGACATTTGTCACTTTAATCTAGAGAGAAAAACAGTGAGAAATATTACATAATTATTCACATAATAAATATACAGAGTCCCTAAAATCTATTTGGGCACATTATCCACTCCAACCATGTATAAATGTCATTTCATTATCTATATTAAAAGCAAGAGGCATTTATTTTATAGAAAGATGTACATACAATTTTATGGACTTACGGGTAGTTCTCTGGAGGTTTTCTGAAGCAGTTTGATGCTTTGACTTAGAGTGCCCTACAAGAAGAAATCACATACATTCTACTTAAATAAATACTATTTAAATCTCTTACAATCTGTTCAACCCCTCCATGAGTCACTGGTTTCTCCTATGATTCTTATTCTATGAAATCTTTTTAGTAAGTCATGCTCCATGCGTTTTCTTTTGAATTCAATTCTTTAGTCATTGCGATACAGTTTCACAGCAAAAACTGCTGCCAAATCACAAAGTACAAACACAATGCTTAAAAAAGAAGACACTTAAACAGACTTGCAAACACAAACATTTACAAAACACTTCTTAACTACTAAAGTTCACATTACTGAAACACATTTTTTACAAAGTACATCTATTTTTGTTTAGTCACGTCACATGATACCAGCTGTTGGCTTACCCTTGCTTTCACAAATTTCTTTGGTTCCATTTGAAAAAATAAATAAAAATAGAATAAAGAATAAAACTTAGAATACTTAGATTCTTTATGTGTCCTCTTAAACCAAATGGCTTCAAACTATTTTTATCCTAATTTAAAAAATGTCAAATGTTTTCTGTGAAGCTTTTGTTTCTCATAAACCATACCAGTTTGTGTGTTTGTTTGTATACATTAAGAACTTTGCAATCATAAGTGAGCTAAATCTGAGACAAAACTTCCTTCTGTGGAGGTATTTAAAAAGGTATAAAATAATAATAATAAAAAAAGTGTAAAAAATGCTCTGTTACTGTTAGAGTGTGGGTTATAGAATTGTATTTATTAATTAATGTGTGTAAGTGTGTGTGTTGTGGTGGGCGTAGTTCAGGTATTCCTTACATCATGGGGACAAATTGTTCGTACAGCTTATAAACACATACAATTATTATTTTTTAAACTTTTAAAATTCATTTTGTGTGTTTTACCATAGCCTGCTCCATTGGCACCACTTGATCTTTGTGGATCTGTCTGATACTGCTGGCATGACCCTTGAGCGCATTCTCAAGAGCCCCACGTCGCTAAGAAAGAAAGTGGGAGAGATACATTGAAAATATTACATTTAATTTTATTTAGTTATTGTGATATTGTTAGGCAAGACTTGTAACTTGTGAAAATCGGTATAAATAATTTTCATTCAATACATAAATATGGTTTATGCTTATTTCACTCTTTGTTTAGATAATAGGTTTAAAATTGTAATATTTTATGATGAATATTTATATTTTAAAATTTAACAACTTTATTTAAATAGGACATCATCAGCATTAAACACCATGTACAATATTACATTGTTACATGACAGAACACAGACAGGACAGACCAGACACAGCACAAATCAGCTACAATTATAAGCCAAAGAAAAATGATAGATTTTGAATTGTACTGTACTGTAAAATACATAACTTGCAATACTACAGGTAGAGTTTGACTTGTTTGTTTATATAAACAATATCTATTACAATATCTATTACTATCTATACTATAAACAATATCTATTAACGAATAAGCTCACTCCTCAGACTAACATTTTATGCCCAAGTGCTGTAAATAGGCCCTCAGTCATATTCCCATTAGCACAAACACTGTAGCTCCACACACATCCTGTAGCTGTGTGTTTTCACCTCATGAATGCAGTGCCTGTGGCCCTCTACACTGGAGGGGAGATTGCCATATAAAGTTTCAAAATGTTCCAGAGACTGACCTCTCAGTGTTAACTGACATGTCTCACTTTGTAAATAATATCTGACCTACTGAACTGCTAATATCTTCACATGTTTTAAACTAAGACACCAAGTGGCTGGCATTTTTACCAGTTGAAAGTGATTAATTTGTATTTGACTCACCAGTTGGTCTGCTTGAGCTTCAAGTTCATTTGCGTAGGACAAAAGATCCACAACCGTCACTCCTTTATTCACCTGTCAATGAAATCATCCTTAAAGTGTGTTCTACCGTTGTGCCTGTAAGTGTCTATGAGAGTGCGAGGGTTACCTCAGTCAGATAAGCCTGATAGTCGATTTCTCCAATGCCTGTGTTGGCGAAGTCGATGAGGTTATCTTTGCCCTCCTGTTCCAGAAGAAGCATTCCCTGGAGATCCACATTCACGCTATTAAATACCTTGGCAATTTCCAGGTTATACTGTTAAGAAATCACAAACACTTGGTTAGGGTATTGATGCCATGTTCAGTGTGTGCAGTAGATATATACAAAAATGTTTTGTGTTTTTTTCACACACCACTGTGGCATTGAGAAACTTGTTGAAGTTGAACTTGGTCTCCAGTTGTAATGCTGAATATAAACCACTATTCTCATAACAATCTCTATGAGCAAGAGAACAAGAAAAAAGAGATGTAAATCAACACAGTAAATCAATCTTCTCAAAGAGAAAACAGACTCTAATGTCAAATAAATGATACAGATATAGTTCATCCAAAAACTCGTTGTTGACTAGGGTTGTGCCGATAGACGATAGTATCGTGTATCGACGATAGTCTGACATATCGCCGATGGCAGATGCCTTTGACGATATCAATACGATAATTGGCTCGTTTTACCATAATGTATTAAATTATTATTATTAGGCCTATTATTATTATTATAAAGCTAGTATTGTTATTAAATGAATATTAGGAACTACAATTAATTTGCCTTGCCTAAATTTACAACGACATCACCTCATAACAATTGCAACAACACACGCACTAATGAGGACTCCTCTTAGAGAATGTTTTTAAAACAGACTAAAAAACATCCTACATCAAAATTCAATCGCAAGGTGATCCATTCACAAATTATCAAGTGTGCTCGTTTTAACAGACGCAAAATTAAATTTCCTACAGATCCAAGATGAAAACGGCATCGTTGTTCGTCAGTATTGTTTCTGTAACACAACTTTTAATGACACTAACACTAAAAACAATACAATTACTAAATAGTATTAATAATAATATCACTAAAATAGTATTATAGTTACCGTTATCATCGTCGTCTCTGAGGGAACGCGGCGTTAATGCAGATGCCGAAAGCAGTCCGTTTTTACTTTCACTTTCAGAGATAGAGCGCGTTTACATGCGACGACGTTCTTAACCTGATTATGTTGAATAAACTTGACAATGCATGTGGTCATGTAAACGTTTCCTTTATCAGAGTCAAGTCATAAGTATAAGTAAACCGATCGACTCAGCTAGACGTTTGTCCCTTGCTCTTGTTTCTATCGGCATTTAAAACACATTAACCCGCGTACTTCGTGCTTACTGAAGTGCGCATGTGAAGTGCGCAGAGAACGCACAGGGGGGCACATATGGCAAACTCCGACTCTTTCTGACCCAAGAAATTATTAAAACGTGTTTTCATCTCGTGCTGAAATAGACCAAAATGCTGCATGTAATGGCATGAGAATAGGCTAATGTGTCCGTAAATTTCCCGTTGACAAACAAAAGGATTAGGATCTCTTTTTTTTACTTCACTATACCAGGAAATAACCTGATCCTATTAATAAACACTCCACCTTTGCTAGGAAAATAGAAAAAAGATTCTCGTATATAAAACGAAGTAGGCTAATAAAACAAGCAAATTAATGAGTAGGCTAAATAATCAAGTTAATAATCAAATAAGTTAGCCCCGCCCCCTCACGATAATATCGTGTATCGCCGATCTCACAAGCTGACGATAGGACGATATGAAAATGGAGCATATCGCCCAACACTATTGTTGACAATGTTTTTATTAATTTGTTAAAGGGTCAAAGACTTTCACTAGAGATACAGAAATCTCTCAGGTTTCATTAAAAAAATATATTTGAAAATATATATAATGTAGTTCAAAGATGAACGAAAGTATTATGGGTTTGGAACGACACAAGGTTAATTATGACCACATCTTCAGTTTTGAGTGAGCTAAAGATTTAAAATAACTTCTTCTCATTGGTCTTTAGCATTGATCTTTGCTCACTTACCTGTACATACTGCCGATAGTAAGGTCGATGTTGGGATCTTGAAACAGCATGCCAGGAAGGACGTTCTTTTTGGCAGGATGGACCATGTATGGTGTGTCAATAATCTGCACAGCAATAAAAAATCCAAATTAAATTCAAAGGAGTCAATTTTACATAATGCTAATCAGTAAATTTTGGCACCAATTTATATTACAGTAAGACTTAATTTAACAGTGTCGTCGTTAGAGTTTTGTGCCAGTACCTTAAAAATCTGTCTGTTAGCCAGCGGCTCACACAAAAGCTTCTCTATGTTTCCTCCAACAACAAATGTGGTAACTACAACTCCCATGAGCACCCAAGAGAAGATGAAGCTGAAGCCCACAGAGCTGCTCAGCAACAGAGCAAAAAAGTGAAAAAGAGAAGTTAGTATCTAACTTAACTATAATCAAATATAATTTGATATGCACTTTTAGGGAAGGTGTTGTGTAGATAAGTAATAATAATAACAATAATTTGTTACATTTATATAGCACTTTTCTTGGTACTAAGGGGAAATCTCAACCACCACCAATGTGCAGCATCCATGGATGATGCAACGGCAGCCATATTGCACCAAAACCCCCACCACACACAAGCTTATTGGTGGAGAGGAGAGTGATGAAGCCAATCAGTATATACAGTGGGACCAAAAAGTATTTAGTCAACCTCTGATTGAGCAAGTTCTCCTACTTAGAATGATGAGTAATTTTCATCATAGGTACACTTCAACTAAGAGAGACAAAATGAGAAATCCAGGAAATCACATTGTAGGATTTTTAAAGGGGTGGTAAAGCACATTATTTCGAAGGCTTGATTGTGTTTGTGGGGTGCACTAGAACATGTGTTCATGCTTTGTTTTTAAAAAATGTCATTATTTTGAATATACAGTGGGTACGGAAATTATTCAGACCCCCTTAAATTTTTCACTCTTTGTTATTTGTTATGTTAGCCATTTGCTAAAATCATTTAGCAAATGGCTAACACAATAATGAGGGGGAAAAGTTAACAAATAGAAAATGTATTATATTATTTGTTAACTTTTCCCCCTCATTATTGTACACACAGCATCCCATATTGACAGAAAAACACAGAATTGTTGACATTTTTGCACATTATTAAAAAAAAAAAAACTGAATCACATGGTCCTATTCAGAGTCAGACCCTTTGCTGTGACATTCATATATTTAACTCAGGTGCTGTCTATTTCTTCTGATCATCCTTGAGATGGTCAAGGATTTTCATCGTCTGGTATCGTTTAAAGCCCTTTGAAGCTTCACTGAAACTCTCATTTGTCCTCAAACCATTTGGTTCCCATTTAAGTCCATTATATGGAGCAAATCCTGGAATGTTTTCATCAAAAAGCTTAATTTCTTTTCAACTGAAGAAAGAAAGACGTGGACATCTTGGATGACATGGCGGTGAATAAATTATCAGCAATTTTTTTTTTAAGTGAACTACTCCTTTAAAGTTGGTATTGCTCCATCTTTCAGGACAAGCCATTAAGCGAATCCTGCATTGAACTCGCAAAGATTGTGGAAGCTTTCCTCCGTAAAATGTGCAGCACACAGAGTGCGCGAGATTTGGGTAATAATTATGAGGGACCGAGTTAAAAATAAAATGTGTAACCAACCATTGATCCCTAACTTCCCCGTCCCCAGGAAGGCTGAACAAAGTGGACCTGCAATCTGGATGAAAAAAACAGACTTTGACGGCATTGTGGCAACAACACTCCAGTCTTCAACAGGTTTGCACACACTGTAGTTGGTATTTTGACCCATTCCTCCATGCAGATCTCCTCTAGAGCAGTGATGTTTTGGGGATGATTCTGGGCAACATGGACTTTCAACTTTTTCCACAAATTTTCTATGGGGTTGAGGTCTGGAGACTGGCTAGGCCACTGCCGGACCTTGAAATGCTTTTTACGGAGCCACTCCTTCGATGCCCGGGCGGTGTGTTTGGGATCATTGTCATGCTGGAAGACCTAGCCCCGTTTCATCCTCAAGGCTCTAACTGATGGAAGGAGGTTTTGGCTTAAAATCTCACAATACATGGCCCTGTTAATTCTTCCCTTAACACAGATCAGTTTTCCTGTCCCCTTTGCAGAAAAACAGCCCCAAAGCATGATGTTTCCACCCCCATGCTTCACAGGTATGGTGTTCTTGGGATGCAACTCTGCATTCTTCTTCCTCCAAACACGACGAGTTGACATTTTTTCCCAAAAAGTTCTATTCTGGACATGTACTGGCTTAAGCAGGGGGACACGTCTGCCACTGCAGGATTTGAGTCCCTCTCTGCGTAGTGTGTTACTTTGTATGGTAGCCTTTGTTACTTTGGTCCCAGCTCTCTGCAGGTCATTCATCAGGTCCCTCCATAGTTCTGGGATTTTTGCTCACCGCTTTTTGCTTCTCATGATCATTTTGTCTCCATTTTCTTACAATTGATTTTTTCACACCAACCTGCTTGCCTATTGTAGAATCACTCTTCCCAGTCTGGTGCAGGTATACAATTTTTTTTCCTGGTGTCATTCGACAGCTCTTTGGTCTTGGCCATGGTTGAGTTTGAAGTGTGACTGTTTGAGGGTGTGGACAGGTGTCTTTTATACAGATAACGGGTTCAAACAGGTGCCATTAATAAAGGTAACAAAAGGATGACAGAAGAGCTTCTTAAAGAAGTCGTTACAAGTCTGTGAGAGCCAGAAATCTTGCTGGTTTGTGGGTGACCAAATACTTATTTTTCACCATAATTTACAAATAAATGTGATTTTGTTTTCTCATTTTGTCTCTCATAGTTGAAGTGTACCTATAATGAAAATTACAGACATCTCTCATCATTCTAAGTAGGAGAACTTGCACAATCAGTGGCTGACTAAATACTTTTTGGCCCCACTGTATGGGGATAATTAGTAGGGCATAATGGACAGAGGCCAATGGGCAAATTTTTCCAGGCTGTGCTTTATGTATTTGAGTATTATGGTATATGCTGTTTTGGTGTTTCCGTGGTAACTCACGCCATCAGCAGGTTTCCTCCAGTGTTGGACAGACATCCACGTGTGGTGGGAGTGGCATTTTTATCATAGCCACATGATCCACACAGCAAACCCAGGAAATTAAAGGCCAGAACCAGCACAACCATACAGCAGATCACTACACACCCTATCCATCTAGAGACACAAAGACAGAGATAAAGAGATATCGAGTGAAAGTGAGAGTGTACACTGTGACTGCAAGATTTTTGTTACATTTTTAAAAAAATAAATCAGGCCTAATACATAATACATTCAGTAAGAATGCATTACAAATTTTTGCAATTGCTTACATAGTCCTTTCAAACTGTTAAACTTAAGTTCAAAACCTAACATAATACAAAAGTGAATAAGACAGCAATTTGTTACATTTCTATAGTAATACGATATTGAAATATATTACGAATAAAAAAAAAGAAATACTATTAATACAATTGGATGTAGCTGAACACCTACGTTAACCTTTCAATTTCATTACCATCTCTACAAAACATTACAGTTTTTTTTATTCGCTTTGGTACTATTTTCACAAGTAAGGTGTACATTTTCAAAACTCTTAGTACAAAAATCCAAACTGATCACACTTGTAACGCAGCTAGTAATTCTTTCAAAACCTGATGTAATGCTTTCAGTCAGTTGCACATGTTTTCAGTCCACATAATAATTATTTCAAACACAAGATTATTGTAATATGTAATGAGAACATTTGGTTTAATCACTAAAACACAATAATATGATCTTCTTTCAGTTTAGTACTTTTAAGAATCAGTTCATCCAACAGCAAACAATGCAAGATACATGTTTCAAATCGGCCTTAGAAGTGCTGAAATGAATATGCTACAGTACTATAAAAGACAGATTACACAGTTTTACTGTAACATTAGGCAATACACTTACAGTACCCAACATTTACATAATCTATAATTTCCAAATATCCATCATATATGTAGGCCTAATCAAATGAAGGATCAATGAAGACATCCTTTACAATCATTTAGGCAAATTATAGTTTTTATTTTTCAGATATAATTGTAATATAGGTATACTTTCTATAATGAAATCTAACTAAAGAAGAACAAAACATAACATTTAGTGCACACATTACAGTACATAGTGGCCAATTGTGGTCAGACTGTGAAAAAAATAGTGAAAAAAAATAGCTATAACGAGTATTCATCATGTGTGGTTACTGGTTACATGTAATTTAAATATTCATACAAACACACATTTTATTTCTGTAGTTCTCAAAATCCATATACTGTATATTGCTGAAATGAAAATCTATAGGTTTACCAAATGATTAATTGATTAACCATTAAGATCTGTTGGATTAAATAATAGACAAACGTATTAAACTGAACAAAAAGAGATGCAAATCAAAAGTTTGATAGTAAGAGCTTTATGAAAGGCAGTTACTGTGAATGAAACAATAATGTAGATGAAACACTTATTTTGTGTTGTGAAAAGGATACTTTGTGATTGTGTGAATTGTACTAACACAGTTGAAAACATGATGAAATGTTTGAAAAAAGTGCACTTTTGATGATCTGTTGTGATATTAGCACTAAGAGTTTTGAAAATGTACACCTTACTTGTGAAAATAATACCAAAGCGAATAAAAAAAACTGTAATAATTAATAATTGTATACTGTTATGTAAACATGGGCTATTATACATATACTGCAATGAATTATAAGCAGTAGAGAGTGTCATTCTTGTTTTGCAAAGAAACTATACAAAATAAATCGTATAATGCTGACTGTTGTTCGTGTTTTTTTATGTCATTGCGGCAAGTGTGTTTGTTGGGAGAAAAACTAACTTTGTTAGTGTTAATGTTGCTAATGTTGCGGAACTTATGCTTAACTTAGTAATCTCTACAGAAGTACCTGTAGAAGTCCAGCTGGTCGATCTGGGGGTAGTAAGTCTCAATGTTCTTCTGGCTCTCTGTCAGGAACTTTGTGAAGTTCTCAAGTGCTGGTTCTAATGGGAACATCTTTGTGAAACCAATTATCTCTCCACATGTCTTATCCAGCAGCCCTTTCACTTCTTTAATAGAGAGAGACACACAGAAAGATTAAGTGAATATGTGTTTGGGAATATGGAGATAAAATGATAAATATGTATATAAACTAATATAAAATATAAAAACACAGTACTTGAGGCACACTTACTGGGTAGAGCTTCATTTTTTAAAAGACAGACCGGTTTCCAAATGCAAAGGAACAGATACGAGAACAAAATAAATTTTCGTTTTTTGGTGATTTTAGTTTTTAGAGAACAAATAAAGTCAACATGTTGAGTACAGATTGAAACTCAGTTGAAAAACCTAATGAGTCTCCTATATGAAGGCACCGTATCATATGCAGCACTCACTATGTATAGGCAGTGAGTCAACAGACAAGGTTTTGGCACAAAGCTAGATTGATTAATAAAGAGAATGCCCTCACCCGACACAATTCCTTTTGTCTGTTCCCTGACCATCCTTGGTGTGTCATTAAAGGAAGCGTATCCCTGAAAGAGATAAACAAAAAGAAAAGGTGGTGAGGAAACTGTCACAATACATTATGGGGGAATTAGTGGGTGCATGATAGAGGTAGACACATCTGACCTTCTGTACAATATTGCTGAGGTCCGTTTCAAGCACAGCGTCCAGATTGGCCAAAGGCGCTTCAACCTCAGGCAACTGTTGGATGTCACACAGGAGTAGGAGTAAATACCATAAATTTCATAGTTTTTAGTGGTTTTAAACGATCTATATTATTTGCTTTATCTACAGTCCGTCTCTTCCAGGAAGAAGGAACAAAAATACTGATGACTCATCCTGCACTACAGAGATTTTTTTTTTCCCCAATCAAATACAATAACACTCCCATAAATACCACCAGTAAATGACTAGAAAATAGCTAACCATAGAGCATGACCAGGGCCTGAAGTTAACTTTTTCGGCCACCAGCCACTGTGGCAGGTGGATTTAAAAATTCACCTGCCACAGAGACTTTTTACCAGGCCATTTTTTTTTTTTTTTTTGCCTCATAAACGTAAAAACCGGGAATTTCACTATATTGTTCTTTAACTTGCTTAACTTCTTTAACTTCTTTAAAGTGATGTCAAGTAATAATAACTGTAACAACATACCTTTAAAAAAATCGTTTTATTCATTGATTTTGACAGACACAAACACAACAGGCTAGCTATAATATAGTACTCAACAGATAGACCTACCGCAGCTCGTAAACAAATCACACGCGGCTGTGTTGATGGCGGATTTATTCACGTACAGGTCTTACTCTTAACAGCTTTTAGTTATAGCGTTCAGGAACCGTTAAATATTAACTAAATTAATACTGTTATTACTGGTAAAATTGCCGGGTACCAGACATTTTCTCACCGGTTCCCAACTCTTAATATGCACAGTTGCACACGCACACACATCTGTGCAACTGTCATTGTACTGTAACATACGTCAGCGTTACATTATCTCATCCCATCTCACCAACAGTTTAATACTCGCACATCCAAACGTAGTCAGAAAAAGGGTCTCATCTTCTTTCTGATCGCATGAACGTTACGAAACAACAGTCGCTGTCATAAATCAGCCGCTCACGAACCTTGCCATTGCCGCCGATTGTTCACTTTGTATTAAAATGTCTTCTTTACTTTTCTTTTCCTCATCCTCATCTTTTTATTGGCTGTTTGTTTCAGCTGGCCTCTTTACCCCAGTAATGTGCCGCCACATTTTAGCTAAAGTCCAACGCAATAGCGGACTTTGTTGAAATGTAAAAATCGTAATGAATCACTCACAATTCTCATTGGCTACCTGCCAATGTGGCAGGTAGATTGACAGTGTTACCCGCCAATAGCAAAATTCACCCGCATTTGGCAGGTGGTCGGGTGTTAATTTCAGGCCCTGAGCATGACTGTTGAGTAACTACATTTTACTGGCTTTTAAAGGAGTGGTTAAGTATGATTTTACTTTTTTAACTTCAGTTAGTCTGAAATGTTGCTGTTTTAGCATAAACAAGTTAAACAACACCTGCAAAGTTACAATGCTCAAAGTTCAAAGCAAAGGAAGATATTTACAGGACATTCCTCCAGGGTTAATATCATCACCAACCCTAAAATGTACATAAACCCCGCCCCCGGGAACACAGTCCATGTTGAGAAGAGGAAAAGTTGTTGTATAAAGGAAAATTTGTGAGTCAGCTCAAACTTTAGAATCCATCTTTGCAATAGAAATTCACTTTGTGTGCATCTTACAACAGTTCTTATATGAGCGATTTAAATATTCCCATGACAGAATATCCTAATTGAAGATAGTTAACTCAACATCAACAACATAAATTCATCAACTACCCATTCAGAGACGTCCTGTTGCACTCTACATGTTGTCACTTCTTCTTAAGTCTCTCTGTCTTTGTCTGACTCCGTTTTAACATTAAGGGCAGAACAGTTTCTGTAATTTTAGCGTCTGTGAGGTAATAGGCTTTATGCCGTGCGTCACGTGACCATACAGGAAAACGGGTCTCATCGCATCCGCTTGTCAGAGAAACTGTTAACAGCCGTAAGAACTGACTACGATATCAATGGATTTTTAAGGTAATCAGCTAACCGAACTAGTTCACTTTGTTATTGGCGTTTTATTCCATTTAAATATCTAAACATTACTGTGTGAAGAAGAAAAATATAAAACGTTTAAATATCAATCTGCACATGTGAGGGATATTGGTTATGCTAATCTTTGCTCGCTCCTTTAAGTTATCTTGAGTAAAACCGCAAAAAAAAATTCATGAAGCACATACAAAAGACCTGGACCGGAAGCGATGCGACCTGTTTTACAGAATGCAGAAGTAAGTTGTGCATAAAGCGCATTGCAGCTGCTAACACACCACATGAGCTCTTGAAACCCCGCCCTCTGCAACAGCTCATTTGCATTTAAAGGCCCATACACAAAACAGTGCGTTTTAGCAAAACCTCAAAAAGTGACAACTTTAACATTCTATATGAAATATCTGTGGGGTAAAACTGGAGCTTTAAATGGATGCTTGAACCAAAAAAAAAAGAATGGGACTTGACAAGAGCACATGTTTGTTTGTTTTTTTTGTTTTGTTTTTTTTATGAATAATGTATAACTCATTTATAATAAATACTGCAATATTCTATAAAATATTAGAATTGTCTATTTTGATTTAATTCATATATACTCATTTATAATTAAATACTGCAATATTCCATAAATATTAGAATTGTCTATTTTGATTTCATGGTGAATGGATGAGCCCTCAACATGTCCTGTCTAAACTAAGCAAATTGATACACTGATACAGTATTTACCAAGTCTCATGGGAAAAAACATGATTATATTTGATTATATCATGATTATATTATTTTACAAATAACTAAATGTAAAGTTCGCTTATAGATTTAGAAGCCTCATCTGCACCGAATTAAATAAAATTCGCTTTTAGTGCCACTCAGAGGACATTTCACCTCAGGAGTCATTGATTTCCTACAAATGGTTTACTTTTTGTTGTCCCTGCACATAAACTGGAATAAAAGAACAGTATTTAAAAATAGAAAACTTAAAAGGTACGTATTTCATCACATGTATATACAGTATGTGGGCTGTGTGTGTGAGTGTTACCCCAATAAAGTTTGCACTGAGAGCGAGCTGGCTGAGTGTTCCGCGGATGGTGCTGCAGGTGTGTGTTACGTCTCCATTAGAGCAGGCCTGGTCGTTGAGTGTGTTTGAGAGAGACGCACGTTCAGATTGAAGAGAGTTCTGGAGTCTGCCAGTCCCTTCCTGTAGGATCTCCAGTGATGTGGTCACACTCTCTAATGCCTCTTTGGCCTCCCGCATGGCTGTACACACACACACAGAGCACTTTCATTATAACACACTCACATGAAGAAAAATAAATAAATGAACCATTGGAAGGCATTACACTATTGCAAATACACAACTGATCACAGAACAACCAAAACACTTTTATGTATATGCCGTTTTCTTAAAACAACAACAACAACAACAACAACAACAACCACAATCTCTGTTCACAAAACACGTGGGTGAAACCTCTGACTTTTACCTTTAATAGCACCTTCCACTTTAACTTTTATCCAAAATCACAAGCAACAGAAACAGAAAGGAACAAATTAATAAGCATAGTATCAGTGTGAGTGTGTTGAGCAAGTTACTAGCAACATCAAAATGTCTTGAAATTTGTTTTGGCTGAACATTTTGCTTTGTCATTTTGTGTACTCTAGACCAGGTCACTCTTGCAAAAGAGATTTTAATCCTGAATCTTCTTTAAATACACATAACTTCTACAATGTGCACATGTGTGAGCAGGAAAGAAAAAGATGTGTACTGTAGGTGAAAACTAAGGTATCGCATTTAGTCAGTTCCGTTTATCAGGCTAAACTATAAAACCCCACGGAAGAGGAAGCACTGATTAAGCTCAGTTACAATGACAATCCTACAAGTATCCTTTTTTTATTCAGCCTTGAATTGACAAGGGAAGAGAATAAAAGAGAATGTGAATTGTGCCTGTCATTTATTTGCACACAATACTTTCCGACAGACACTTCAATGTATTTAACACTTACAGTGGTTAAACTGGATAGTGAATGGTTAGTAAATAAGACTCATGGTTTTGCATTGAAATGTCAGTCCAGTTTAGTGAATTCGGACCCTCGGTGTACTGTATATACTGTATGTTTGTTTTTGCACCTGATGTCATGCGAAGAGCGTTGTCTAAAGCAGGTACTACTTCTCTCTCCAGCTGATTATGAATCTGTCCACCCAGCAGAGTCCCAATATCTGATAAACCACATTGATATTACAATTAAAAATTAAACACAGCTCCAGCATAAAGTACGCTACAGTTAAAGAGTTTGGGGTCAGTAAGTTTAGAAAAGAAATTAATAGTTTTATTTAGCAAGGGCAAATTAAACTATTAGAAAGAGACATTAACAATGTTGCAAAAGATTTCTATTTCAAATAAATTCTCTTATTCATCAAAGAATCCTGAAATAATGTAAGTACTGTATCATGGTTTTCATCAAAATATTAAGCAGCACAACCGTCAACACTGATAATAATAAGAAATGTGTCTTGAACACCAAATCAGTATTTTAGAAGGATTTCTGAAGGATCATTACTGGAGTAATGGCTACTTCACAGGAGGAAATTTCATTTTAAATATATTAAAATAGAGAACAGTTATTTTGACTTGTAATAAAATGTCACAATATTACTCTTTTTACTGTATTATTGATTAAATAAATGCAGCCTGGGTGAGCGTAAGAGACTTCTCTGAAAAGATGTAAAAAAGAAAATCTTACCAACTCCAAAATTTTCACCGTTACAGTAGTGTATGTTCACATTGAGACACGACAGAGGGAGAGAGAGAATACTTACTGTCTAAGTCTGATAATACTCTGTTCTTGGCTGTTGTGTACTGCGCAGTCATGTAATCTATTTGCTACAAAATTAAAAAGGGAAAAAATTAATACAAAAAGACTTAGACTCAGTGTATGAAAACATGTCTGTGTTGCTGTGCTTCTGATCAGGCCCACATAGAATCTGCACCAACAGAATCAGCAGATTTCATCTGATTATCTTTCCACCTAACAATGACATTGTAATATATACTCTTAGCTTTGTCCACAAATTTGTCCACTTTGACCATTCCATGAGTTAATGGCTTACCGCTGGTGTGTAGTTGGCAAAAGATTTCAGGTCTCTTATGTTAGTACTGACGAGACGTCTGGTGCTCTTGATCTGAGATGTGATGTTCTGGTTTGCTGCGTAGGTGATCGTCACCCCCACTCTGTAAAACAAAGCAACACATTTGGGAAATATGCTTACAGGTATTGTTATGACACACGTTATGTCTAGAAGCATATGACAAACTGCAGATTTAGGAATGAGTAAATTAGAAATAAAATAGTAAATAGTAAAAATAGTAAAATTGATCGTCTGGTCTAATGTATGACTCTGAGGGAGGGAGTTTATGGATATTTGAGCAGGGATATTTGAATTATAAATATTTGAAGATATATATATATATATATATATATATATATATAGATATATAGATATATATTTTTTTTTCCTTCAAATATTTATAATTCAAATATCCCTGCTCTATATATTGCTATTACATAAAATAGTAAATAGTAAAAATAGTAAAGTTAATCGTCTGGTCTACTGTATGACTCTGAGGGAGGGAGTTTGTGAATATATATATACAGTATATATATATATATATATATATACAGTATATATATATATATATATATATATATATAGTTTTTTTTTTTTCAAATATTTATCATTCAAATATCCCTGCTCAATATATTGCTATCGGTGACATGCAGTAATTTCCAACGTCCTCAGTGTGGTGCTAATGTCATGCTAATCATCAGCCAACTACAGTTGCAAGATCCGTTGAACACTTGTATTGGTAACAAAATGAACTTGCAACCATAGTTGACGTTGGGAAATGCACCCTTGTTTAATTAATGTGATTCAAGGGACTTACAAGGGTTACAGCTATATCCCAGTTAGCATTACGTTTGAAAAGATCCAACAATTCTGATGGCTTCTTAACCTCCAAAACCCTAATTGAAAAGCAAAGTATCTAATCGTTGCACACTTCCAAATCTCAGCAGAAATTTATTTGACTACTGTATCGTGATTACTGAGATATCAGATATCATTTGACATTTTGTATACTCAGTAGCTAAAAGTTATTTGAAATCAAGTTAGTCAAGACGCATTTACAGCTCAGGTGATTGATTAAAAAAAAATCCTGGAACAAAGATGGCAGATATCTGTACACCGTGTCCTACACTAAAGCCAAACAACAGCATTGCTATGAATAGGAATGCTAACAGATAGTCTTCTCCAGTTATTATAGAACTCCTTGGAGACAGTAGATCAAGGTACTTATTCAAAATATTGCATTAAATTGATGGAACAAAAGTGATTGTTCCAAAAAATATTTCAAATAAACATTTTCCATAAAAAAAAAAAAATTATACTTTTTCAACATTGATAATAAAAAAAGAAATGTTTCTTGAGCAGCAAATCATCATATTAGAATGATTTCTGAAGGATCATGTGACACTGAAGCTATATTCAAATAAAAAACAGTTTTTTTAAACTGTAATTATATTTTACAATATTACTGTTTTACTGTATTTTGATCAAATAAACAGCATGGTACGCATAAGAGACTTCTTTCAAAAACAAACACAAAACCTTTGGATGGTAATACACTTTTTCATGAATAAATAAATAACATTGTTAAAATTCATAGTTTAAATATATATAAAATATATATATATTAAGATGCCCATGCACACATTCACTGATGCTGCTCATACGTAGCCACAAACCAAAGATAACACTTTACTAACTGAGTGGTGCAGATACATATTAAATTGTGGCATCTGATTACAGATTATTGCCAGACAAACCTCCTTCTCTGTTCCCCCAATCTCTCGTTTCCTCTTTCACTGTCTCTCTCAATCTCACTCCTCTCTCAGTAAAAAAAAAAAAAAGATTTAATAAAGGGGAAATGTGATTCGACAAAGGAAGCCAAAGAGAGAGAAAAAGAAAAGAGTGAAGAAGGAAACAGCAGATTTGCACAGTCATGATCTCTGCTCCCAGGCCTCGTCCAGCACAATTACTGCAAACCTCTCAGTAAGTCATTGAAAGTCCATCAAGACACGCAAACACAACCTCACAGTACAGTCTATGCCTCACAAACGCTCATTGTGACCCAAGCAACTGCTGTCAGCACTGTCACAGTAAAAAAGAAAAAAAAAGAGGCAAAAAGAAAGAGGGGGATGGGGTACAGAAATAAAGAGGGGACTTTCTCTCCGGACAGACTCAGGACTATCAATGTCACATCTGTGAATGTGTCTGTGTCATTCTAGACCACTTCAGGTGTGTTCACTACACACTCTAGCAATGGTCAACTGGAAAATCACAATTCCCAACTGTTCTAACCAAAATCAACTGGTTAGAACAAACCTCTAAATTGACAATTTTCCCAATTAAAAATCACAATTCCCAATGCCAGTTTAAAAATCATTAAGGATCCAAATCTGACAGAAAAAAAATTCGTTAGGAAACACAAGTGCACAAGCACAAACACTAACTATCATTGACTAGATTGGTGTGGAGCAGCACAGCTTGTGTTTATTAGAGAGCAGCTACTGTATCTGTGACCTCTATTTTTTTTTCTCGACATAAATAAGACTAATTTACTCAGAATCACTCTTCACATTTCCATGCAAACTGGCCACAGTGACAGGACACAGACTGTGTGAACATATGAAGAGTTCAGATGCAAAAGCCTCTAAATGCCATTTGAAATTTTCTTCTTTAATGATGATTTTTATCAAACTTGTATATTTAAGTTCAGTAATTTCACTTAAATAACAATTCATAGGTAATCTTCATCCCCATTTAAGTGAAATCACTGAACTTAAATATACAAGTTTGATAAAAATCATCATTAAAGAAGAAAATTTCAAATGGCATTTAGAGGCTTTTGCATCTGAACTCTTCATATGCAGACCGGTAAATAATGTGTTACTGTGTGACACAGTAACACATTATTTACCGGTCTGCATATGTTCTGAAACATTTCTTATATATATATATATATATATATATATATATATATATATATATATATATATATATATACAGTAAAATATATTAGGGCTGTCCTCTGATAGCTGACTAACCGTTAGTCAACTAGAAGAGACTTAGTTGACCAAACTATTGTTAGTCGTTTAGTTGCAGAAAAAAACTACATACACCTTCTTGTTAACAGCAGGAAAAACCAAACATTCATCTATCATTTAACGACCTCAAATATGGTATCACTTGAAACATGTAGTAGCAGCACATTACAAGTCTGCTCGCTCTAATGTTAGGCTAACCTAGACAAATGTGTGCTATTATTAGGCGCATATCTCTTGTGTGGAGAGCGTGCTTACTGCATGGCATACAGATGCCAGAACGGTACATGGGAACTTATTTCTCCTGCTAGACTAATAAGAGTAATGCAAACTGTAAAGGGTCTACTTTTATTTTTGTAGAATCACAAAACGTTGTGTTTTTGTTAAAAAAAATCCGTCTTTGAATCGAGTTTAGGCAAGCAGATAGTTTTGAACAACACTGCCTGGTTATGCATTTTCTCAAATATGATAATTTTTAACCAAAAAACTTCAGCTTTAATAATAATAATCATAATTTAAGCTCCTTATTATGTAGCCAAATCTGTGCTGGTTTGTATTAGCCAACTCCAGTTGTCCGTTTGTTTTGCCTCCAGCTAGCGCTGTGACGTAATTGTGACTTTGGCACAAAAAGTGGTCTATATAGGCACGTCCACTACTAGGGAGATGACAAGAGTCAGCATCGTTGACTTAATCTCTGCAGCCGATAACACAGAAAACATTACAAATAAATTATTAAAATGTTTAGACAATCTCATTCTGGGTTTTTTCACCACAAATCCATAATCATTACTTTGACGGTGCGCTGTGGCAAGCTTTATATTTGAATATGTACACTGATTAGGCTATTTTACGCATATTTTAGCAATTGGACGCATAATTGTGAATAATGGCTTATTATTTTAAACGCCCAATTAGTCAACTAATGGCTTAAAGGAATGACTGCTATTCCACTAGAGAAATATTTAGTAGAGGTCAGCCCTATTACTGCACAGTAATGCTATTGTTTGGCTAGTGCAAGACCCTGTATGCGAAGTCTGCCATTTCTGTTCCAAATTTTGGGACTAATGCAGCATATGAGTACTTTTCTGTTAAAAAGAAAAGCATGCAAAAATCATATGTCAAATGAGTAAGATGTCTCAGAATTCAATGTATGCATAATATCAAAGACTTTAGACATGCAAAGTCTTGTATTACTATGAATGGGAGAAAGTGCAATGTGCAATATGGTGAAATAAGTACCATATAAGTAAAAAAGCCAATCCCCAATTAATAAAGTCATAGCGCCACTGCTGCTGCCGTTTTGAGCTCCTGTATATAGAAATACTCAGTGTTCTGTTTATTACTGTAGATGCGCATTCAAGCCAGAGAAATTCTTTTTTTTTTTGTCATTATTTTGGGCATTTAGAAAACAAAATTTATGAAACAACACAGCTTTGTAGAATTTGATGTTTCCCTATTCAAAGAGAAGCTGCACTTGCATGACTTAAATAGGTGCCTGAGAGGCGTTTCAAAGATGGAAATGACTTGCCTAAAACAGACTTTGATCATATTTAATTATTAATTCAATGAGAACATTTGTTTTATATATATATTACAAAATTCAAAAAACAAATTCTACTATCCATAATTATCCACTGACAATGCTGAGACAAGGGGAAGTACCACTACTGTTCTGGAACTGATTATTGGACTGTGCTAATTATCTCAAAAAGACCAAACTATAATTTGTACAAATTCAGAACTAGACACTTTCATTACAACATTATGCACAACAAGTCACAAGTCTTTGTTAAACTGTAATTCTACATTTAAGTATTAAATAATATTAACATGTACTGATAGCGTTAGGGTTAGGATTTGGTTTGGTTTAAGTTGCATGTAATTATGCATAATTTATACTATGGTTATTTCTATAGTAACTACATGCAACATACAGTATGTAACAATGGCACTTTAAAATAAAGTGTTAAAAAGTCACTTTTAGAAGCATGTGGAATAGTTAAAAAAGAGTCACAAACACTCTTTGAAGGTAAGGAAGACTCACGCGAGGAAGACAGAGGTAGCGATGAGCGTGGCCATGTAGAAGCCTCGTAAGCAGTCGCCGTTCTTCTTCTGTCTCTGATGCATCTCACCCCCACAGTTCTCACAACATCGGCACACACAGAAAAACAGACCCACTATTGGCATGAACAGCAAAAACAACACTCCCAGTACTGTCAGGACTATGAAGCCGAGCTCATAGTAGATAGCCTGGAGATGAGAGGAGAGGAGATGATTTAATTTCAAAATTAATTGCAAAAAGCCCCCAAATGAAGATAACAATTGTATTTTATATGTGTGTCAGGAACAAATTATTTGTTAATTGACTAAATGCTATATTTTATCACATTTTAAATTTCTTTATACATATCAGTAACTTGACATGAACAAGTCACTAGAATTGTCATTTTGTAAACAGTACCTGTAGTAGTAATACAACATTCTCTGGCTGCATTGCCGTAGAGTTGAAGAGACATCATCAGTGTGCATGGCGAATAGAAAGAAAAAAGAAACTGAGATTGGAACATGTGCTTCCATATCTATTATATACAATACTGGTATGTTGTTTTTTATTGTATTATAGGTCTATACAGCGTGGTCATTATATAAGCACATAAATAATTTGTGGAACCAAACACACACCTTCTTGTAATCATTCCCTTTGATTCCTCCCATGTTCTGCTGGACCATCGTAACAATGAGATCTGTAACAAAAAAATTAACAGAACAAAATAAAATGTGACGGTTACTAACTGGAAATTCGAGAAACCTTAAAAAAACTCACATTTTCATGGAGTTGGGTTGTTTCAAAGCACAAGAAATGTCTGCTGCCCTATGCATATTACTTTCACAGGAGTAACATTTGTGAGAAGGCAAGTAAGATTTAGTAAAATGTTGAAAGTTTATTTGGTAGCACTTTACGGTAAGGGTACATGAATTATCATGAATTCATGTATAAATGCATGCATGAATTATGCATTAATTCATGCATTAATATCTAATGAATCATCAGGAACCAACACGAGTTCAACGTTTTTCATTTATGACTTCATGGATGAACAACACCTTAATTAAAACATTAACTAATATGAGTACATCATCATGAATTATGATTTATTAGGCATGATCGTGATGTTTTCTTTGTTCAAATTTATGCCACTTTTAAGAGCACATTGTTCATCAGTGTTTCAAAGGACCTAGTCACCACTTTAGTTGAGGGGCCATTATCTATCAATGATTATCTATCAAATCATTGATAGATAATGCTTAGTTAAAGGTTCTCTAAGCGATGCTGGGCCAAAACATTTTTTGTCACATACATCAAACGTCTCCTCACTATCGGCTAGCTGCCTGTCCCCTAAACTCACTGTAAAAAAACGCGGTCTCTGTAGACACCACAGGCTCCACAAACGGCAACAAAAACAATCATGTCTTACCCGGACCACGAAACCTAACAAACAGTGTTCCAGCCAATCACTGGCAAGAAGTATTTGAGGGTGGGTCTGGGGGGTTAGTGCACATGCACATGAAGGGGGTGTGTGTGTGAAGGAGAGCAGCGAAGCATCAGAGGGAAGTTTGAAAAATTACCGACACATGACCAAAGAGACGTCGTTCTGAGGAACAAATTAAAAAGAAGAAGGAGTCGGATAAAGAATGTGCGAAGTTCCGAATTTACATCGGTAGCAAAGCTTTTGAACGATGGCGAGAACTCCGACATTCAGGTTGCTCTGTTTTTGCTTGACAGGTGGGTAACGTTAAATTGTTTTTTTTCTTCTAAATTGACGCTTATGTTCGCCAAACCCACACAAGGATATAATTAGCTAGAACTATGCACGTTCACAATTATTTCAGGAAGCACGGAAGGGAGGGGGAGGAGATGAGATGCGGAGGAGGGAGGGTCTAGCTCCGATTTGTTTGAAAATATTCGAACGTCAACACCCAGGATCGCTTTGAGAACCTTTAATGATGACTACTGTATTGAACAGACCCCAAAATAGACCAATCACAGCTCATAGCACACAAATTATGTTAATCAAATACAGAAGTCATCATTAACTAGGCATTATCTATCAATGATTTCATCATGTGTGTGGCCTAACTGTGAACAAAAAGAGAAACCATCATGATCATGCATAATAAATCATAATTCATGATGATGTACTCATATTAGTTAATGTTTTAATTAGGGTGTTGTTCATCCATGAAGTCATGAATGAAAAACGTTGAACTCGCGTTGGTTCCTGATGATTCGTGATATATTAATGCATGAATTAATGCATAATTCATGCATGAATTTATACATGAATTCATGATAATTCATGTACCCTTACCGTAAAGTGTTACCGTTTATTTCTGAGAAACAAGTAGATATGTGTTATTTAATTGATCTGTTTCTATAGTTCAGCCTGTTATAGAAGTAGGCCATACACATGCTATTAGAATCACACAGTAGTTACATATACTGGGTCATGCACCACTAAAACAACAGATTAATGTTATTTGACACAGAGTAATATCACAGTCCTGCTAACAGTGCAGTGACAATGACATCAGAGTCTTGTTGTCAGTGTTACATTAGCATCTCTACAGCCAACATTTTTTGAAATATGTGTGTGTGTGTGTGTGTGTATTATGCTCAAGTATTAGGTTATAATATCTTACATTTATACATTACATTTATATAGCACACTTTTCTCTGCACTCAAAGCGCTTTATATGGAAGGGGGGAATCTCCTCAACCAACACCAATGTGAAGCATCCAGGATGTTTTGTCAGCAGCTATACTGCGCCAAAACGCACGCCAGCTTATTGGTGGAGAATGATGAAGCCGATCAGTGTATATAGACCATTTTGCAAGATGTAAACAACACTGGTCCAGAAACACTTCCTGTTTCAGTTTGTAACTGTTTTCTTTATTTCATATGTAAAGAAAACATCTTAAAGATGTTTGTTTAACTTTTTGATTCAGTTTTAAATGTTCTGTTGGTTGTATTTTATCTCAGCTTTTATGTAGTGTTAAAAAACTGAAACAGGAAGTGCTTCTGGACCAGTGTTGTTTACACCTTGCAAAATGGTCTATATGGGAATGATTAGGAGGAAAACGCGAGAAGCATGCAACCTCGCACGGCAGCCGCAATGATGTTTTTTTTCTATGGGCATAATCCACCAGTGGCATTATCTTGCTTTTTTCCCAGATCTTCACACAGAGGTGCAGAGATATTGAAAAAAAAAAAAAAACATATTCTGCACGCATCCATCATCCACAGGCAAATTATGCTGATGTGGGATGCAGGAATATGGATATGACTCAATGCCCCTGATCGAAGAGACGCTGCCCAACTATCTCTTAATTGGCGAGGTCTCCGCATTGAAGACTTACATTGTGCCTGAATGGCAGAGCATATGCGGCAGTGGGTCAGGCTGGGGTGGCTTTGCACACTATGGCTGTGTTGCAAGCCTTTTAGGCTGACTTGCTGAAGGACCTGGACCAGGCCCAGGGGCTCCCCCCCTAAAGCGGTAGAGGAGCTGCATGGCACTACAGATTTGGCTCTCTGCGCCACCAAATAGTCTGCTGTGGCCGATCTATGGTAACCATGGTGGCGACACAGAGATACATCGTCGATGCGGCGGTTTCGCCTTCCAAGCTTTTTGGCACATCTATTGAGACGGCGGTTGGGAAGTTTCGGGAAGTGAAGGCATGCTCTGTGGCTCTAAAGTCATTCATGCTGCACCGGTCCAGGCCCACACTCCAAGCCACGAAGGGGGCTGGCTCATCCCAGTCTGAAGATCGGCGACAAGACCAGAAAGCGAGCGGCACCTCTCGTACTCCCCCTCCCTCGAGGGGTAGAGCACGGAGGAGGCGCGAGTTTAGAAAGAAGCGTGTAACATCAGGGATCATCCTCTGATGCGTGTTCCAACTGCCCCTGAAGCTGAAACCATGATGTGTTTTTGTAGAGCATTAATCATCTGCCCTACTGACGGTTCGGCACAGAGGCTGGTTAAAACATGGCGTCAGACTCGGCTTGTGGTGTCAAGGTTACGTATGTAACTAGTCCCTGAGAATAGGGAACGAGATTGTGTTCCTTTGCCATGCTTCCGGCCTTCCTGCACACGTCTCCTTCAGACAAGAGGTGGATGACGTATTGCTCAAGTGCCCTTTTATACTGTCGGTCTCATCTTTAGTGACGTCATTGGTTGCTGCCTGCCAATGTCAAGATCATTGTTGCATTTAGATTTCCACTTCAGACACCAATCACGCCCAAGGCATTCCTCCATAGTGATCCCAAGGGGATGCAGCCATAGACAGTATAAGAAGTGGACAGAGCCATCTCATTGGAACTCAAGTGAAGCCTATTTTTAGCAATTTTTTAGGACTTCCGTTCCTGACGCACAGACTCAAACCGACTCAAACAGAGCTTGACGACGTAGATGTGACGTGAGCAACCCGCCTGTCTTCTAGTGGCTGTGGCATGAGAAATCTGAATCATTCCCTTCCGAAACTTGCAGATGCGGATAGTGTGAGTAGGAGCTGTCCAGAAACTTTTGCTAGGTATTCTGATTAATTATTTTGTCATTTTGCCTCCACGTTTCCTCGATTGGCCGCGAGCTTCTCCTCCTGTCCATACGGTAATCTCTTTACTGTGCGACAGATAGTCGCGTGGTTATGACGCAATCGTTAGCCTACTTTTACAAAAAACTGCTTCTACGGGGCCATAACATAAGCTACATTGTTGTGTTTCTTTAGAAATAAATAATGGACAAATGGAGTGTTCAAACGCCTCAGATGTAAAGTTATTCGCTGTCAAAGTGATGCCAAAATGAATGGGAGTCAATGGAAATGCTAACTCAAGTGAAGTTCTGCTACAAGATGGCGGCACCCGGCCGGATTCAACTTCCGGTCGATGGATTACCCCTTTGGATGCAGCATCTCATTCCCTATTTTCAGGGAACCATGGTTACATGTGTGTAACCTGAGACGCTTTCCCAGGAGGTCTCCCTTAAACTCAACATGAATGCTATTGAATGCACACACACACACACACACACACACACACAATGTACTGTAAGTATTGTAAGTAGACCTCGGTGAAAAAAGCACTTTACTTAAAGTCACCACAAATTGTATCAAATTAAATTGAGAATGGTAGTTTTTTATGGAATATTTGTAAAAAAAAAAAAATCATTTAAACTTATTTTTTAAAGCTACAAGAAACTACAGCACAGTCTCATCCATCACGTTTTACTTGATCTGAACTAAACATAGGCTTTACCTCACCTATTTCAGGTGAGAGGGTGATACCGATAGCTATAGTGGAGAACTCACACAAAATTAAATATACCTCTTTGAACCTTATACCTCACCAGAAACTTTCTGTATGTTTTCATTATCTTTATAAAATAATTTTATATAAATAAAAAATAGATAAATAATTTTTTTTTAAAGCCCATTTTTCTAACAAGGATAATAATCTGATAATTATAAACATACTAAATATCTTAATGAAAATATAAAAATGCAGAAAGTTTTCTGTAATAAAGTTTAAGTACGGAGAGTTTAACAAACATTATGACCATAGAATAATATACAATATGTAGTTTTTGATATAATAATAATATACATATAATATATATATATAATAATAGACTAATATAATAATACTCTTACTAGGATGTACATGCACACACACAAAGAGAACCATATATA